ATCTATACCGGTATTTTATATGGGGAAAAAAACAACTTTCCGTAGAAATGGTATATAATTCTTGCAAACCGGAAAATATTGTACCCTAATGTACACTCGTGGCCACGCAAAACTTACGACCACTTTTTTTAATTTAGTAGAATTTTGTAAAGTAAATATTTTTAAATATAGTTCAAACCGCAATAAAAACTATATATATAGGGTCCGACCGATTCCAATTTTTTTTCAGGTGCCGATGCCGATTAATCGACTTATGGTGAAAGAACCGGCCGATACCGATGCCGATGTCGATTCCATAAAAAATTACAAATAAATGTATTAATTCATAAAATCAGTACATTTCACGGCGTTAAAAAAAAACAAAAGAAAAGAAATAATTGAATTAATTGGCTTGTTATGCAACATTACATACACATGTATGTACATCCATACATATGATGTGTAAAAATATATGTGCATATATCACATTTATGTACATTACATAAATACTTTTTTATATGGTGCTAAGCAAAAAATATTTAGGAACATAAAATTTCATTACACTTTTGCACTCAATGCATAAGAACTTATATGCGGTACGTATGTACATACATATATAGCTGGTATACAAAAAACACCATATAAATTCAGATTTCAAACTTTGTACAAAAATTAGAAAAGTTCTGCTTATTTTCACCAAAAATTCCAAACTTTTTAATCAGAATTTTGATATGCAGTTTTGTAGACCATTTCATTGTAGTATAATGAAGTGCAAGTTTCAAGCTGCTATAAAATCCCGTTAATTTTTGGCAATTTTTTTTGCTGGCAGTGTTCTCCATAAAAATAATTTTTGTGAGCTGTCTGCAAATGTTTTTTAAAGTTGGCTGTCGCTTCACCTGAACATTTGAAAAGAAATTCCAAAGAATCGGCGAAAAAAGGCCGATGCCGATGCCGTTGCCGATGCTCAATTTTGTGCCGATACTAGCCGATGCTCAATTTTGTGCCGATACTAGCCGATGCCGATACCGATTAATCGGTCGGACCCTATATATATATAAAGGTTTCAAACTTTGTGCAAAATTAAAAAAAAAATTTATAAAAAATTTTAGGAAAATTTTATGTAGTATAATAATGTGCAAGTTTGAAGTGTTTCAAAATTCTCGGTGATTTTTAAACATATTTTCACCGACGGTCTTGGGTAGTTTTTTCCATGTAACTTTACGTACTTTATATACGGGCATGTTTATGTGTAAATAAAGTGCACGTGTTGGTTGTAAGAGTTTGGGAGCCGCTTGTCAAAGTAGAAAAAAAGTACATATAGACATACATACATATGTATGAATATATATCTGCTATGTATTTAAAAGTAGGTTTAAAATATTTGTGCTAATTTGTTGCGGGTACTATGGAGCACAACGGTTGGATTATTAGCATGCCGTACAACAAAGTGAGTCCATCGGAGGTGCAACATCATGGCACCAGTTGTAATGAATTTCTGCGACAGACACCAAAGGATAACTCAATTTTCAAGGACATTCGAACCGTATTATTTATTTTGAAGGCCACGGGCCTATTGCCGATCTATGAGAAAGTGTCCGGCTACGAATTGGGTCCACCTTCAAAACTCAACATTTTCTATTCTTTTTTTGTTCGGGGCGTTGTGCAAGCATTTACTGTTTTCAATCTTTACAACCTCCTAACGCCTGGGTCCGCACAGCTCTTCTACTCCTACAGCGATACCGATAATGTGAATAAATGGATAGAATTTTTGCTGTGTATGCTAGCTCATACAACGACTAATATTATATGTGCGAAAAATTCAAAATCGTTTCTACAAATTTTCAACGAAATTTTAAAAGTGGACGAAGATGTCTTTGTCCAGTTTGGTGCCACTTTGGAAAACGAGTGCGACTTTTCACTGAAATTTATTGTGGGTATTTGCATTTGTCAATGGTATTTAATGATACTACGCGTCCTAGACGCCGAGGATCCGCTTACAGCCAACTCGTACATTTTCTTTGTGTTCAATGCAGTGCAGAATGGCATGGCAACGGTTTTTGTTGTTTTCGCAGCGGCTTTATTAAGAATTGTGAAAGTGCGATTTGCTCATCTCAATTCGATTCTCGAAGGCTACTCATACACGCAGCAACTCAAGCTACGCCGTTTAGCAAGACGTGTTGCTCGTGGTCCTACGATGGAGACATTCCCGGAGGATTCTTTATTTACATATCGTATGCACAATAAGTTACTGCGGATCTATCGTTCGATCAACGACTGTTGCAGCCTGATTTTGGTAGCATATATGGGCTATGCTTTCTACACCATTACCACCACTACGTACAATCTCTTTGTGCAGATTACGACTCAACGAATTATATCATTAAAAGTGTTGCAGTTTTGCTTTGCATGGTTGGCGATGCACACTTGCGTTTTGGCACTGCTTTCGCGCAGCTGCGGACAAGCCACGGATGAGGTGAATATGATTTAAGCATTAAATATTTTCTGTTCTTAACATTCAATTCTTTGGAAAGGCTAACGGAACATCGCAGGTTGTGGCGCGCGTCTACGGAAAATCTAAGGATTATCAAAATATTGTAAACGAGTACACATGCCATGTCGTTCGTTTGCTGCAAGAAGGTCATAACTCGAACCATCAAAAATGCGAAAAACCGCTTTTAGTCAGGGGCCTAAGAGTTATAAGTTTTTCACAAATCGCACACCTAGATCTAAAGTGCGATGAACTCGAAAAAAAATTTTGGGCGATTTTTTTGCATAAATCAATTCATAGCACTTACACATCCAATTAAAGGAAATATTTTTTTCTTCATGATAATATACATTAACTAAAAAACTACTGTTATACCTGTTCTTGTATTAAGTGCATTGAATTTGTACGATTCACAAGCAGTTAAGTTTCCCTCTAAGAATTTTGAGTTATATAGCTCACTTAAGATCTAGGTGAGTGAAATTTTACCCCATAACATTTAATAACCCTTTCGCAAGTATCACTTTTTACGTTGGCTAATGACTGAAGAGTTGCATTCCAACTTTAATTTGTATGTTTCATTAAGCTGCCTTTACACGGGTTGATTTCCTAGTCGATTTTTTTCGTTTAACCAAAATCGACGGGCGTAAAAGGCAATTCAACCGTAAAATGTAAGTATTTTTGCTGGTCGATTTTCCAGTCGACAAAAATCGCAGCTTTATAGTTCAGATTGTATCAATCAGGAATCGAAAACATATGAATTCGTCTATATAGTATACGGCTTTCTCTCGACACCGTGAATTACTTTGTTCGCTCCCCCAATTACGATCGCGAACTACCCCATTCATACGAGCATTCGATTTGACAGTCCTCTGTCTCTGAGGTAATTCGCTCTCAAAATTTTTTATGGCGTATTACGTAGTTCGAAGGTAATTGGAGTGCGAATTGTGAATGAGAGAGCAAACGGCGTAATTGGGGCGCCGTAAGAAAGCCGTATTAGACTTACTTAATTTTGTTTAGAAACCCGGTTTATTTACGAGGTTTACGCGTTTACGAGGCATTTACACGGTTAGATGAGTACCCGTATTATTTTTTTATCCGTATTTTTTGTAAAAAATAGCATTTAAAATTTGGCTTTTATTTGTTCGATCAAAAATATAAAGTTTATTGTTTTTTCGTATCAAAAATAAAAGTTAAGATTCAATACCTGTGTCACCTTCTTGTAAACAAGATATATAATATAATATATAAGCAAATAAAGGATGCAAAAAATACAAAATTTAGCTTTGATCGAACAAATTATCTAAAACATAACGATTTAAATAAAAAAAAACAGTAAATATAACGGTTACGGTCCCTGTTACTAATTCATTGAAATATGTTTTTTATGTAAGTTATCGGAAAACTTTGGACACGGTGAACCGTTTTCGATAATTTCATGGGTGGTCCCAGACTAATTTGGTTTAGTTCCGATCCGATTGGCTCATGAAGAAATCAACGGTAATCCTAAATTTGTATATGAGCATTGAAGACGGTTGAGGTTTTTGCTTAAGAATTACTTGATTTAAATCATTTTGCAAATTAATATATCGTTCAGGAGAAATGGTGTGAAAGGCAGAAAGTACTTTTACAATATTGGCTATTAATGTTTTTGCTTTGCACTACAAAAATTAACTTTTTCGTTATTTATAGAGTGTTTCGGACGACGTGAGATATCTGAGACTAGTTTCGATAAATGTTGATATCGTCAAAAATTGAGATAGGATAGAAATTTACAAATATATTGATTGCATTCTAGTTATATACATACACATTTAGTTGCTAGCTATGCAGGATGGAAAATAGTAAAATCGTATGAAAGACAAATTCTCTTTTATGAGCCACAAAATAAACAGATCTTGCCATGAATTTTTTACACAACATAAAATGGTTTATGACATTCTAGCAACAAACGAGCGATATGTGTACATATGTATGTACATTATAATTAGTAATTACCGACATAAAATATGAAACTACTTGGTGGAATTTTTTAGGTCGATAAATTTTTGACGAAAAGCATAAAACAAGAGGTGCAGTTCACCGCTTATGGATTTTTTGTAATTGACAACTCGACGCTTTTCAAGGTATTGCTTTCCGAACATTTTAATTACACCGAATTCATTTGTCTTTTCTCAGATTTTCTCAGCTGTAACAACTTACCTGGTAATCTTAATCCAATTTAAGCAGCTAGAAGATTCAAAATCAGATGATGATTCTACCTAGATCTAGAAATGTGAATTTCCCAATTAAATGTGCCTTTTCACAGTAACTATTATGTATTACCGTATCTTTTACTTCTTTATTAAATTATTCTACACACACACAATTATAAAAAATTATTCTATAAATATTAAAAATTGCAAATGCGCAGGGGCCGAACTCCTTCAACCTTTAGTTTAAAAATAATTAAGAATCACAAAGAGAAAATTTTTTAAGTCACATAGCAGGGAACAATGCTGCAATGCTCTGTTATATGTATATTGTTCAACTTACATATATTCGTAATCTGTTTATTTATTTTTTTCTTCAGTTATAAATACAAATTCCAATATGCAGTATGTATATAAATGGTGAACTTAAGACGATTTTGGATAAACATAAACGAACTTTACTGGTCCCATTTAGTAGTTGACAATTTTCGACGTTTGCCTTGTTTCGCCAAAGAGAAATGAACAGATTCTATCCAACGCGAAAGCTGCAATGGTATCCGCTAACAAAACCAACACAAGCGTGTTGCGAAACTGAAATTATAAAAAATTATTTACTTAAATACATATGTACATATGTACATATTCAAAAACCTATGAACATATCGTTAGCTTAGAGTGAAAATTTGTTAAATCCAGTTTTCGAAATTTAACAGGAGAGATTAAAAGCTTCCCAACTCAATTTCTTTAAATATTTTGCAAAACTTTGATTACAAAATTTTTGTGCGTTAAAGCAAAATATAACGTCATACAAACGGGTAGACTTAGAGACAGTGTCCGGTTTTTATTTCATCGAAATTCAAATCACCCTGTAATTTCACAAACCCAACCTTCACAAAAATGCGTTCTCGTATAGTACATATGTATACTTAACTAAATCGATATGACTTTTCGAAAAGGTAGCAAGATTAATAAAAGCCATTTTCGAACTAAAGCCTTCACAAATCTCTTGTGGGCACTCATATTTTAATATTTCATAAAAATTTTATAAAAATTAACGCAATTCGACTTTTCAAAACAGGTGGAAGTCCGCTTAGAAAGTATTTTCAAACTAAAATCTTAAATTACTTTTATACCTATCTTTTAAAAATTCATCCAACTTATGAAATGATTTTAATGTCGTTTTTTAAACACCTGGCAACTCCAATCAAACATTCCAAATGTTCAAACTAAAGGTTTTTCAACCCTGTTTCGCTTGTCACCCGTAATTTAATTTTTCATATAACCTGTGTACAAATTAATTAAACTCGACCTCTCAAACAGGTGGCACCCCTCTTTAAAAGTAGTTTAAATATAAAAGCCTTCATAAATATCCTTTATCTGACATTGTGACATATATTTTAATTAACTGATAATTTTAATTGAATTTAATTTTTTAAACATGTGGCAACCCCAAAAATATAATTCAGAAATAAAGCCTTTTCAAACCCATTTCAATTGATACCAATATTTAAATAATTAATTTAACTTATTAAATAATTTGAATTAAACTTTTTAAACGGATGGTAACCCTATTTAAATAACTCAAAAATATTCTTAGTGTTCGTTAACACTCTTTCGTTTGATATATTTTTCGTACTTCAATGTGTATAAGTTAACTAAATTCGACTTTTAAAACAGGTGGCAACCCCCTTCAAAATCTTTCCAAATTAAAACCTCTGTCGTCCGACACCCATAACTGTTGTGAATATTTCACTTATCTAATTTCCTTAATTGGAATTGAATTTCACATTTTAAGCAGGTGGCAACCCCCTTACATGTAGTAAAAAATTAATCCTTTTCAAAACCATTTCCATCGATATTGTGCTAATTGATTTAACTTTTTCGATTATTGGTATTTAATTTTTTATAAGGTGGCAACTCTTTTCGAAAAAGTAAAACCTTATTGCACATCTACAGCCCAAGTCCTTAAATTTGACACCACTTTTTGAAAATCGAACGAACGGTGCAGATCTGATGACCTGGACAAAAAATCCCTTCGCGGATTATATATATATAGATGAATACCAATGATTTGGGAGGTACTGGGCTGAAAAAGCTGTACTCGCAATCGGAACGCAGTCGACACCACTGTCGATATAGGAAATCCGACAGTGACTACAACAAAGAAATTCAAGCGTATGTGAAAGAAGGTCAGAATAGGAAGAAATATACGTATAGGTCCTGTTTTGTTTTCCACTTGAAATAATTTTGAAAAAAATTCTTATATTGTCGAAATGCAACCATGGACACTAGCTGGCAGTGAAGCTTGCAAATTCCTGTTCGCGCTAAACTTTGTAAGTTTCTCTCTTTGGGAGAGTAAGATACCTTATTCTCTGAATTTTGTTACTGGCCAATTCTTACTGGCTTTGTGATTAGCAAATTAAAAAATTAAATCAAATAAAATAAATTTTCAAAATGGACTCCAATTTTGGTAATAATGTAATAAAAAATTAGTTTTATTTGGTGGTCTTCAAGCTTTGTGGGCAACAAAAGTTTTCAATTTAGCGTTTGTGGGCTGAGAATAATGTTGCACTTTTTGAATAATGGGCTTCTTTCTGAGAAACTTCAACGTGTGTTTTACCGTGCTTTTCAGCTAAGATGCCAAAAAAAAAAAACAGCCGTTTTAAGCTTTTTGCTGCAAAATGTTATTAAAGGAGTGTACCCCGAAGAATATAACACCTACATACATACGTATTTAAAGGAAAGAGCAAGAATGATATGCATACAGTACATAGGTGAAAAATGTTATCTTATTTTTTTAACTTTATACCTAGCCTAATTATAAGTAATATGAAATGAAAATATACTTGTTGGGCTAGTGTCTTTTCAAATAAATAATTAAGCACAAAATTGTACAAAGAAAACACAAATATAAACTCTCGTGAAACTGAACTTAAATTTATTTCTTTTTGCTCCGAATCCGATAACCCCACATTGGACCCGCCGCATTTTGAATTTAAACAAATCTGACATCGCCACCTCGAAGACCCCCTTATATAAAAGTTTTTGGTGAAAAGGAGAAACTTATAAAATTTAGTCGCCCTATTGGGTCTGTCATTTTGAATTTCAGTAATCTGACATTAGATTCGAAATCAGCGAGCTTATATGGGTATTTCCATACGTCACATACATGACAGTCGTAGGTTTCAATGAGATACAAACAAGGAAAAACATTTCTTTTCTTTTACTTTTTTAAGACCCTTGTATAGCACATAATTAGCTCCGCAGGGCCTGGGTTCAAGTCCTGGTCAAAGTAAACTCGAAAAAAATATAGAAAAAGTTTTTTTTGTTAACAGCGGTCGCCCTAAATTTTTTCTTTTCTTACAAAATCGCAAAATTGTGGGTTGGCTCTTTTCATGAAACTTGTTCTAATATGATTTGTAGCAATTCTAGTTGTTTTTTGAATTAATGCAACCTGTTTCAATTTTCTTTTACAACTCCAAGTATGAATCGTCACGTGATATAAATTTCCATCGTTATATTTTTGCTAATATTGTTTTAAAATGAATTTTCAAAGCAAATAAAATACTTTATATTTTTAAATTTAATTTAAATTTTTTGAAAATCTGTGTTTTATTATGTTTCCTACGACATACGCCAAATTCGAACCAAATCGGACCATAAATATGTAGCCTCATTGCGGAAGTCGTAAATTAGGCTAAATTGTACGACTCGACACATTGGCATTGTCTATTGTCGTGCCGAAATAAGTAAACGACGAAAATAGTCGAAAACTATGTATGCAGTGATGCCAAGTTTTTCCGTTTTAATAAACTAGTCGAGTCGAAATTTTAGGAAATTTCAGGGACATGAAATTTTCGATACGATTCGACTCTTGAAAAACGACTTGCATTCGTCACGACGGTTTTTCAAAATATCTCGACCTTGGCGCCACCTAGAGAGACCATTTCACGCAAAAATTGTTCTACTTACATAGCCAGTGTATGTTTAAAAATAGACAAATTGGCCCATAAATACGTTAGACTTTTATTTTTATTTTTTTGTCGCGGTAAACCTTCTGATGGAAACACCCATATACAAGTTGTTGGTGAAAAGGAAAAAAATTATAAAATCCGCCATTTCGAAAGAACTAAAAATGTTTTTCTTTAAATTGTAATTTAAAAAAAATTAACTTGAATGTAATGTTATACTTGCTGTCTGAAATTAGAATGCGATTTTTGTTTTTTTTGTTTGCGTTTTGGAAGTAATTAACAGACTATTGAAAATTTGATTAAAAAACTGTAAAAGTACCTCATGTAAACATAAACACCGTATAACAAAAGCCCATGTAGATCCAAATTTCTAACTTTGTACAAAAATTTGAAAAATCAACAAAGTTGCTCAACGGCAATTTTCTAGTTTGAAGTGTCTACAAAATCCGTTAATTTTTGACAATTTTTTGTTGATGGTCAACGCATTTTCTTCCATGCAAAGTTACACATATTATGTTCCCAATTTTTTATTTATTTTTTTTGTTGTATAAAAGAAAATAATGACACCATTGGCAAAAAAAACATTATCAAAAATCACCGCAAATTCATATAGGCGACATACACGGTGCATCTGACTCGTGGTTCTGTTTGGATGTGTTAGTAAAAATTAAATGTGTTAGTTACACCGACATGACTCTGGTATGGCTCTGAATGACTGATCTATGTAGTCAAAAGGAGAGTCAAACGCATTCTCTAAGTATGTTGCATATTAGCATCCTTAAACTTGCACCCTATTGCTAAAATTTAACGGGCTCCATAACTGCAAATTATACAAAAGAAATAAGGAGCAAAAAACTAAAAAAAAATTATTGAAAAGAGAACAGAAAAAGCAGGAGTGTTCCGTCCCGTACGAAGAAAAACAGTTATGTTGTGTATTTGCCACCAGGGTTACGGAGCGGAGCGGAGCAAAGGAGCCAAGGACCAAAGGATTTTGGATGAAGCGGAACAGGAGCAAAGAGCTAAAAAATCATTTGCTCCTAGCTTATTAAAGAAAATATAAATCACTTAATTTTTGCCACTGACAACAACCGTGTTAAATAAATTTTCATTCTATTTTTACTTGACAAAATTTATCATTGGACGACGCCCAGCCAGTCAGGGATAATTGCCGTCAATTTGAACGGCGATGAAAAACCAATGACTTCCCATTCAGCTGAGAAACGTAAATTTTGCCGATAGTGCGGTTTCGTACAATTCTGGAATTGAAGGGGAAGCGACTACAAAGCTCAGAAATAAATATCATTTTCATTAATTACATATGTAAAAAATTACATATTGGAAAAAGTTTATTTATGTACATTAGACTGCATCACTCCCCATACAAAAAAAAAATCGGTACTATTTTTCCATTGGAATTATAAAATCTATTATATTTTAAGACGTCCACCAAAATATTTCGGAAAAATATTAAGATTTACGTGAGCTGGACCGATTTGAAAATACCTCAAAAAATGTAGTTTTTTATGAATAAAAAGTTTCTTAAAGATTTTTTTTTGAAAAAATCCCCTCAAATGACAAAACGGTTTAAGCTTAAAAAAATTGCATAAAAATATTTAAAAAAACAAAATTGGACGGAACCGTAATGATGAGATTTTTGATGCTGTTTTTTAACTTTTTTCAAAGATTGGTATAAGAAAAACTTGAATAACTGAACCTAAACTCTTCCAAAAGAGGTGTCATTGGAAAGGTACTTTCCCACCCTTTTTATTTCTTTGCTAATAAACTCATTCAAAGGTTGAAAGAGAAAGGTAGGATGAACGAACGTCATTCAAAGTTGAATTAAGATGTGTTGGTATTTGAAAAAAAAAATTGGGACACGAATGATTTTTTTTTTGGACAGAAATAAAAACATTGTCAAAATACCTTTCTATTGAGATCCCATAAGTCGAAATCAGAATAGTTTTGGCCCAGTTATTCAAGTTTTTCGTAAATCAATCTTTGAAACGAGTAAAAAAAACACCATCAAAAATCTCATTCTAACGATTCCGTTGGAACGATTTTTAAATATTTTTATGCAGATTTTTTAAGCTTAATCTGTTTTGTCATCTGAGGGGAAAGTTCCTTAAGAAACTATTTTTATTCATAAAAAAACTCCTGGAGATATTTTCAAATCGGTCCAGCTCACTTAAATCTTAATATTTTTCCGAAATATTTAGGTGGACATCTTAACCGCAACTTTTTTTGGTGATCCAGTCTAATGTACATATGTACATACATTTATGTATTTTCAAATACATACCACATAGAATAGAAAACCCCACGTTTATAAGTACATCAAATGGTTTACAAAAAACCTCATTTCAAAAAATATATAAAAAATATGAAAAATTAAAATTACGAATGCATTGCTTTTTAAATGCTTTATTTGAAGCGCTCACCATGGGCTTCTTTAGGAGCAACAAAGGAGCGCTTCTGTCTAATGAGGAAAGGAGCACTTTTGATCCCGTTGGGCAGTGACTGAGGGAAATAAAATACCGGAGCGATGATAAAAAAAGCCTTTGGTCCGAAGCCATGTTTGCCACCAAACAGTTGTCTATCATTTAACTTAAAATTTATAACTACTGTATACTGGTTAGCAGTTCACGCAGGGCCGTCGAGAAAATACTCGGGTCTCGGACTGAAAAATCACGGGCCCCTATACGTAAATTGTATCAATTCAAATGCATGTGATTATTTTCTTTAATGTATAGAGTCTGAAACAATCAGTGCGAATCGGAATATATTTCTAATAAAAGCCCATAACGAAGGAGCAATTATATTGTAAAAAATAATAAAAAGTTATGGTTCTGATATTTCAGGCCAGGGGGTTCACCCTGCTAGCCTATACCTTTCCTTAAACAACCTACTCTTATCTCTTGTTTAAGTTCCCTCAACTTTTTGTGAATAATTAGATTGGACTGATAACTTACATCGTCTGGGAATGAGACAATTTCAAAAGCTTCGGTCAGAACGGATGAGAGGCCCAAAGAAAGGAATAACACCAATGCAGACGAAACCAGGATCGATGTTAGTAGAGGCCGGTTTTCTCGTAAACTCTCCATAAAAGGATGCCCCTGATAGAATCATTGAATTCAAATGAATAACAAAATAAAATAGCATGTTATATGAAGTAATACCTTGTGATTGACTGCAAAAGTAGATACTTGCAATGCAAGACAAATTATATAAACCGTGCTGTTTATAATGTTTGGTTCGAAAGTCTGCTTTTCCTCTGCCTCCATGTCTAAGTAGAGTTTTACTTTCCCTTCCCTGTTCCAAAACGATAAAAGAACGATAACTTTGGTTAGGTTTCAATTATAACTCGTAAAACAAAACTACTTACCTTGCAGGTGCCCGCGCCGTAGCCTCCTGTGTTAAGTAGTAAAGTGCACCAAAATGAACGGCAAACTGGCAAAGTATGGTTGATATACTATAAAAGTTAAATATATTTGGCAATGGTGCAGTTTTTGATAGAGTTTTCAGCGGCTATATAATAGAATTCAGAATGTATACAATTTTGTGATCCTTGTAATTAATTATTGTCAAGATGTATTGATTGTACGACGCGACATATCACCCTTGTTCTACGATATTTATTTACTTTTGAAGCGTTTTTTTGAGATTAGGTTTAAACTAAGGCCAATGCTTTCAGCGATTTCGCATTTAAAAAGGAATGCATATGACGCGTCACCAGATCAATACACTTGTTTTTGTGGTAGTTTACCTTTGAACGTGTTATACAAAGAAAGCAAGCAGCTATGAAGAGTCCCTGCAGAGTTGCTTGCATATCACTGAATTTTACGCCATCAATGTATAAAACTGATTGGCAGTAGGCTGATATGAGTGCATTAAGGGCTGAGACTTTGAACATTTGTAGTGTTGTCACTAAAGTGCAGCGTCCCTGTTTAATAATGTGATTCACTGCAGGAACCAAAAAATAATAATTTACAAACAAATACATATAGACAATGTTTAACATACCACACATTATCGACGATGTTTTGCTGGTAAACGGTGCCGCTATACTTGCATCTCCTAGTTTTACAACCGTTGTATCCTCATATATTTCATTCAATTCCGTTTGTAGACGTGCCTGTGTAGAATTTAAATTCTCTCTATGGCGTAAAATTGCTCGTTCACGTGGAATAAGATTTCGACGCTCCGTCGAATTAGAACCTATTGTAGCAACACTTCTATTGCCGCCGGTGTTTCGTGTGGTATTGCCAGATGAACTGGTGCCTGTGTCTACAGTTATTGATCCTGTTCCATTGGTCACATCTCGTCTCCTCCTTAGTTTTGCTGGTGCTGTACTTAGCAAAGACACCCCTACATGAGCATGTTTAAGAGCGCCTACATCATTGGTACCGTCCCCGCACATGAGCGTATAGTATCCGAGATGTTTCAAGGATGTTATAACATATTCTTTTTGTTTTGGCGCAAATCGCGCACAAACAGTGACGTGTTGTAAAATCTTTTGCATGTAAGGATTTTCGTTATCCTTGAGGTAATTCAACCCTTCGCCGGTTATACACAAATCATAGCTAGCTAGCATATCCTTTAGATCATGCTTAAGGCTATATGTCGCATCTGTATTAACTGAAAGCCAATGCCATTTAATATTTTTCTCGTTATCCATCTCGCCAGGAGTAAGGATGAGGAGTTTTTTACGTGTAAAGCGTAACTCTTTGGCTACATGACAGGCTGTTAATGGATTGTCGCCAGTTATCATTACAACTTTGTGGGATGCGTGTATCAACTCTTTGATTACACTTTTGGATTCAGGTTTTATAGGGCACGATATTATGACGAATCCCGCAAATATCAAGTTACATTCAACATCCTCGCGCTTTAATTCGCGGACGCGTTGGGCATCCATTTGTCCGAATTCTTTTATGCCCAATGCTAAAACGCGTGCTCCGCGTCGAGAATATTCAAGGAATGTCTGAAAGTATTAATTTCCCGTAAGTAGAGGTGAAAATATTTAAGTAAAAGCTACTATATTAAGCAGGGATGACATGATTTGTACATTTTGGTAGTTACAGAGTGGTGTTGTCTGGAAATTCTTTTATTGAGCTGAACTCAAATTTTTAAACACCATTAAGCGACTGCAAAAAATTTACAAATCTGTACAAACGTATCAATCGTGCGATCTCTACTTTAGAAGGACGGCCTTCCTTATCCAATTTATTGTGATAATTAATATGGTTACCTTTTCATAATCCTTCGGTACTTCTTTTAGCATATTCTGTATTACTTCAGGTGCGCCTTTTACTGTGCCTATATAAAAAATATCATTGCTGAATGGCACTAAATAGCCCGCTAAAACCGACATCCTTTTTAGGGCCGATGAGAAATAGTAACGATGAAATATACGTAAAGGTTTTAGTCTTCCGCGTTTTGGAATAACGCTATCCTGCTTGGTAAGGCTCCAATCAACTGCTGTAAGTGTAGCCTTTTCAAGCGGATCGCCAACAAGTCCGTCATCAAGCATTACCAGGGAATGACAAGTTGCAAGTACTTGTATTGTATGGTCTACCGCCCTATTCATTGGCACAATAGCATTAATATCATCAGACATACCAACAATACCTTCAACCATCAAATTATCCGATGTAAGAGTTCCGGTCTTGTCGAAACAGCAGATTTGAACTTTACCAGCGATGGGAATGCGAAAAGGCTCAGTACAGAATACAAAAAGTTTGGATAGTTGCATAAGTGAAGTGTTAACTGCCAATGTTAATTCAATTGGAAGGTCTGGGGGTATTATTGACGTCAATATAAGCGTACATTCTAAGAAAAGCTTGTAGCGACTCCGCTCTGGATCTTCGGTTCCCTTAATCCAAACATAAGATGCAGCGGCAATAGCAAAAACCATTAAAAAGAGTATAAAGGCAAATGTTTCTAAATTGTTTTCAGTTACGCGGTTAACACCGAATAGAATTGTTCTCAACAATTTTCCCTGGGATGTATTGAAACCATTGCGCAGCACATATCCTATACAACCACCGTCCGGTGCTCGCATATCATCTTTTGTGGGAGCAGTATGTTGCACCACTTTAGTCCCACCAAAGAGAACAAACAGCTTACTATCGCCTTCCATATCTAGTTCTACATCTAGATTATCTAGTGTCTCTAAGGACTCTTTCATTTGCGGCACCGATTCCCCTGAAAACAATACGTTATCTTTTAGTCAAATGCTTGGGCGGACAACAACAACGGATCTGATATCAATTTCCATACATACCTGTCAGCATGCTCTCGTCAACTATGCAACTACCACGTAATAACACTATGTCACAGGGCACCAAATTGTCGTTTTGTGATCTTGTTATGGACACAATATCTCCAGGTACAAGCTGATCGGAGATTATCTGTCGCCATTTATTTTGTCTCAGCACGCTAATGGAATAAGGTTTGTTGCCCATTTTTCTAATTTCAGCCATGTTATGAAGTTGCTGACCAACAAGAGTGCATTCGAAAATAACCATCATGACCAGTGTGAATAGGGAATAGTACCAATACTCATCGAGACACCACAAAGCAACCGAAAATATTTGAAATACAAAGAAAGGTGCTGTGGCTCGTTCGATAAAGAGTTCATAGAATTCTGGAACGACCATTTTCATTTCATTCAATCCATAGGTTTGTTCTGCTATCTTGACTGCTGCTTCTGTTTCGTGACCTCGACTGCGAGAGTAATGACTTAGGATTTCGTGCACAGGAAATGCTATTCCATGGAATGTACACTTTTCTTCGTCCCAAACATATTTTGTTTTTTGGAAAACAAAATACAGTTGTTGCTCGCCGTTGGCCAATTTGCTGCAATGTATGTGCACCAGCTGAGAAGAACCATTGTTTGGTGTTGGCACTACCTTGGCTAAAACACCTTCTGCGGGAATTTTGACTTTTCGACAATTCAGAAATGCGAGCACATGCACACTCCAATAGCAACAAAGTAATGAAAGAATTTGGGCAAACGCTATTACAGCTACCGAGATTAGGCCGGCTTCGTAGTGCACATCAATACCGTAGACAAATATCCAGGCATAAAAAGCGGTCAAATACATTAAAACAAATGGCATAACTATACCGCTAAGTACTATTGGGTTCCGGATGTGTAAAGTCACATATTGCACCAAATCATCAAGAGCCGGTTTTTTTTTCTTTTCATGTTTGCCTTTACTATATGATGGAGCTATCGAATTCAAATCTGGCTTGCTTTCGTCCACGTATTCGCGAATCATCCTTGGATGTTCTTTGTTCAAGACAATGTTTTAAAAGCTTGCTGTAGTAATTTCTAATTCCTTAACATTTATTTATAAAAGCAGAGTTTTTTCAACGTATGAACGTCATAATTTCCAAAGTCACCTACAGAAAAATTAATAATTTTCGTTACTTGTGTTTTCTGTTGCGAATTCGCCTTATTTGCTTGCATGTCAAATTTAATGGAACTGCCCAAGGCGAATTTGTACAGCACTGACGTGTCTTGATGTTACTGCACGTGTCTACAGTATAAATTTTGTGTATCAAGCATATGTTGGAATATAAATTGCCAATAGTAACCGCTCATTGCTCTTTAAGAGCAATATATGTCAGAGCTAATATATTGCCTTCTATTGCCGCCATTTTGGTAGTTTGACAGCTGCATTTTCACTTGCACGAAAACTTCCTGGTATCAGCTATTGATTTTTTAATAGAAAGGAAAAAACTGAGCCGTTAAATATTATAGGATTTCCCGGATAACAAAATCCCCGGGAGTATTCAGAATTGGGCTGTAAATGTATGACCTGGTAATAAATATTGGAAGTTAATCAACTATATCTACTTAAGTCATCTGAAATTGGGCCCAAGTGTATTATATTGAAACTTGAAAGGAAGTTCTTGATTGTGTAACGTAGGGGTTAGAACTGCCGCGGCGAAAAGCTCAGCTGTTAAAGGCCCTACACACGCATTGATTTATCGGGCAACCAGTTGACTAACCTACTTAACGAAATTCCCTACAAACGCACCAACCAGTTGGCCGATTTCATTTGAGTGACAGTTTTTTAACTGTGAACAACACAACAACACTGGTAAACTTTTAAGCTATGCTAATGCAGCGTTTTTGCTGCATTTAAAATGCAACATTTAGCGCTTTATGTTTTCAAAGAGCGTTCATGCTATCGCATTTAGCAAATGTACATTTACGCGAGTTCGAAATCGTATGCTTTTGACAAACAGCCGTGTTCCAGTGGCTTATTCAGATCCTGATCTATTGCGATCAATTCTCACGCAGAAGATAATGTGCAAAAAACCCCACTGAAAAGGAAAAAATAAATTGTAAATCAAAAATTCAATACAAAATCTTGAATTGTTTTAACCATAACCGGTGCTGTCAGTTAAAATTTCCTCACTTAATTAGGAAACAAAACAAACAGAGTTCATCACAAATTGATTCAGATTTCTATCAGCATCACATCGATGTTGAATTGCGTAACTTTTCTTTATCCAAATAATGTAAAATAATAAATGAAATCTCGATCGGCGAACACACGCACTGATTTATCGGCCACGATTCGAACATGGTTTAATGGAAAAAAGTGGCAACATTGCTCCATTAAACCATGTTCGAATCGTGGCCGATAAATCAGTGCGTGTGTAGGGCCTTTAACGGCAACACCACCTTGTGTGAATGCGCCTTGGTTTTAATTATCTAATTTGGCAACCTGAATTGCAATTATAGATCCGGAATCATGGTGGAATATCCACGTCCGCAAAGAACTGTCATATTCCAAGATGGGTTTTCAACAAAGATGTTAAGCACGTGCCTCTGGATAGTAGTTTAAAAGGTAGATTCGCCTTGATAGTTTTAAAGTGCTAAGGATTTAAATGATTGGTTGACTTCCAAACCATCAATTGCATTGCAATAGTGTTTCATATGCCGAAATACAAAATGCTGGTGTGTATATTGTTACAAAACGCACCTGAAACTTGTATCAATGCGCATTACTGGAGCAATAAGCGCGAAGTAAAATGTAGCTAATAGAACGTAAGTGATTTTTTTATAGTTGTATTTTCATCATATTCATATAGGCGTTTTTGTATCATGGGCGTTAATATATGTACAGTATATATGTAAGCAATAACCGTCTAGGTGGAAAAAACCCGAACCCGATAAAAAACAATTAAGGTTTCGAATGAAATGCTAAGAGCCTGTCAGACGTGGGTCTGCAATATATTTCAAAAAGGCTGTCAAATTGAGAAATTTCAGAATGCAGTTGGGGTCGGCTTTACAAAACGGAACCATTCGAGATTTCAGTGAAAGAATAAGGAATTTCGTTATTAAACTTGTGAGGATGTTGAGGGAGGCCTGCTTTAACTAAATTGATCACTCTCACAATTCAGTTACTAATAGTATTTGTATATTTGCAATGCTCACGTACATATGTAGTACTTTTAATATGTATCTATTGATCAATTATTTATGTAAAACGCGTTTATAAATGTGTTTACAAGATTTAGCACGTATGTTTTAACAATTTTGAATTTTTATAAGAAATTAAAAGTATTTGACATTTAACTAACTTTAATACTAAATTTTTTTTTATTACAGCTTGATGCAGATGGTAACTACATACTAATGACTAGATGATCTGGAATTATATACAAGAAAATATGTACATAATAAAAAGATATTTCGAAAAAGTAAGGTAATATTTATGTATGCATTTGTTTATGTATGTATGTATGTGGAGTGCCTTATTAAAAAGGATTTTTCCTCGATAAATCATTTAAAAAAAAACAGACGAAAATGAACGAACCCTAAATATACTTTAAACATCATGATTTGTCGCAGTAAACGAGGTGTCCTCATATCAAGCCAAAACGAAAAATATTTCCTTAAGAGGTAAGCCTCTGCTGCTAGCGCTGCACTTCATAGGTTGTATAATAATTGTTATTATTATATAAGCTTTCTTAAAAAAAAAATTAAAAATAAAAATAATTTCCGTAAGACCATGATGTAATGAGGAAATATCATCTTTTGATTAAACACTCTGATTTTTTCACAAAATGAAAATGAAAAGTGATGAAATTTTTTGATAGGGACATCTGAAAATCTATGAAAGATTTATCATTTTTAAAATATACTGATCTACTTTCGTATCTATGTGCGTACTTATTTTAATATGTAATATATGTATGTATGCATACAAATAAATATTTTAAATTCTCTACCGAACTGAATTTCGTAGGTCCAAAAACTGATTTATCTCTGGGCTGATGTTTATTAAGTGGATGTAATTGAAGAATAAATATAATGGCAGTTTTAAAAGCTAAACTATAGAAGACATTAACTGGAGAGAGAGAGAGACTTTGATCAGCATTGTTTATAAAGGTAAATTCGCACATATTTCAAACGAATATACGTATGAATGGGATTAACCCAGAGTTTGTTTATCTTTACAATTTGTCTATGTTGCACTTTTAGCTACTCTTTTTCCACTTCATTTACTAATATAACTAGAAAATTAAAATGTAGGATTAAGTTAAAAAAAGTAATTGTAAGTAATCACATCTTTTTAATTTCTAAAATTTTCATTTTTATTAGAGCTTGATACGGAATGTAACTACTAGTAAAGCTAAAGAAATACTTGATGTGACGTCGTATAAATATGTACATATGTACATATATCAAAGTACATATGTATGTAGCTGTTTCGTAACAATAAGGTAAGTAAAAATAGTTACTCATGCATATGTGTGTATGTATGTGGAGTGTCTAATCATCAGGCGATTCCGATTCCGTAATGCATTATTTCAAAGGAAACGAAAATGCACGAAATCTAAATATTCTGGAGAATTTCTAACGAATTTCTTTCGAATTTCGAACGAAAAGTTCGAGTAGTTTTAAAAACATAGCAAGTATTTTAAAACCCATTTAGCCGTTTACAGATGTATCCGATCTGGAAGATTACGTATGTACATATACATATCGTCGATGTTTGTGCAAAACTGCCCATCGACCAACTGCAAAACTGCCCATCGTCCAATTGCAAATTTTACTGGAGAGCGAAAAAACGGGGTTTCTTTACAGGCATTGCCTGGATAGGCGGTACTTTCTCCCGCTATTATTTTACAAATATGTTGTTTTAACAACGATTTTACGATTTTTGTGCGTAAATTTCGATGCCTGGAGTTCAGGGTTACAAAATCTCATTTTTTGCACAATGGCGATTCATGCGGTTTTGCAACTGGTCGATGGCGGTTTTGCAAAACATCGACGATATGTATGTACTATATATGTACAGTAATGGAAAAAATAATAGAAACGTACAGCTTTCATACGAAGATATCAGCTCATCTAACTACACCACCTTGTATAAATTCGCCTTGAATGAGTGCGAAATTAAGAGTGTTGGAGTTTGTTTTCCCTCTTCCTTGAGCGAAAACAAAGCACAAATGTAGTTTTTGTTTTTGTATAACCGCTCCCACCAAGGCGAATTTATAAAAGGTGGTGTTGTTAGATCAGCTGATTTTTCGCTTTGTGTACATGTATTTTGTTTTTGCTTTTACTGATTTGACAGCACACCCATCAAAAGCAAAAACAAAATACGTGTAAACTTTGGGGCGAATTGAGATTTGACATAACAGCCGCAATACAAAATACATGTGGTTTTTGTTGTTGTATTTTTGCTACCACCTTATATGAATTCCCTTCCCTACAAGAACAGTGATAGGCATTTGATTGATCATGTGATACTCACTGGTGATGGAGATCTCCTCAATCATGTACTTCTATCAACTTTTTAAGAGCAATATGAAAAACGTAATGTAAACTTTTGTGTACATGTGACCTTCCGTCTTCCTCCAACTTATGACCTTATTTAGCGGTTTCTTTTTAACCAACGTGTTAGTAAGATAAATGAGAATGTGTTAGTTTCCATCACACAATTCTTGTAGGGTTTGCTACCTAATGGTGAAAACAAGGTGTATTTAACAAGGTGGTGTTGGGGCGACAGCTGAATTTTTCGCCGTGAAGGGCATTATGTTAAAATGATGTGTTTGTTGTAACTCATACCAATGACAGTATGGATATTGCGTATAACTTGTTATACTATGTCCCCACCAGAGCTTAACCGCGTAGTTATGGTTGTTGAGTTGGTTATCTCGATAACCCACTTGAATTAGCGTGGTTTCGCTATATAAAAATGACAGCACTTAACCATTTCACTGAGATGGTTAAAAGCTAACCAACTCGAAACCACGTCGAAAGTCTGATACAATCCTTGATTAAAAAATTCGTTCCTTACCGGTGTTCGGAGCTAAAATCCGATCAGATTAGATTTACTCCGGTTTTTGAAAAAAATTTAAATCTACTCTTTAACTCCGCTTGATTTCAAATCAATTCCGTTTTTTTTTCACTTATGTTCTGTTCCTCTTGGGCCCGTTTTCACCCTCGATTTTAGAGAAAGGTTGAAAATTAAGCAAAATCTCACTGATAAAAAGAGACTCGTTAAAAAAAATGAGTCAATAAAGTAATTGAGTAAATTTTTGTTAATTGGATGTTGAACTTGTCGGATGCAGAACTTTACTTAAGTTGTTAAAAAATATATGTAGAAAGAAATGTATATAAAGTAGAATAGGTTTAGAAAATACTAAAGTCTACCTATATATGTAATATATTATCTTTACATTGCCTTGCGTTCTTATTTTTTGCAAGAATAAAAAATATTTAAGTCATGTTATGTCGAAAGCGAAAATAGAAAATGCAAATCTAGTACGGAAAATTTGTTTTTGCTCTGATTTTTGAAGCGATTTATTCCTGATGCGAGTTTCAGTTGTCCGAACACTGTTATCTAGATTTGTACTGTTTTATAAACCTCAAACCGCAATGTGGACAGCAATAGTTAGTGCTGTGGTTTAGTTCAATTTGAGATGGTTAACTTTTTGGTGGGGACATGGTATTAGTGTAATTTTTTAAAGTGTTTTACTTATATACGGCTAACACCACCTTGTTAAATACACCTTGGGTGAAAAGGTACACAAAAATAAAATCAATTAGTGGGTTGCTTTGATTATAGAGAGCATCTTTCTCTATCGCATTTTTTGGTAGAATCTACTTTTTCAAAATCTAATTAGGCTGCTCTCACTCATGGCCTCATATTACATAAGTCCAGAACTTAAAAATTCCGGAAGTGGAATCACCTATGATTAGACATTCTCAGATGTGCTTAGAAGTGCACAAAACCAAAAACTAAATGATGAAGTTTTTTGATAGGGACATCTGAAAATCAATGAAAGATTTATCATTTTTAAAAACTGACCAACTTTCCTATTTATGAATACATAGATATGGACATTTATAAATATGTATTTTTGAACAATTTGTAAAATATTTATATTAATATTGCAAATTCTCTACCGATTTGAATTTCGTAGGTCCGAAAACATATATACTTTTGGCTGATAATGGTTTAAAGTGATGGCGGATTCAAAAACTAAACTAGCAATTTTGGACTATGCCATTAACTCGGGAGTGTGACGTAACTCTACAGACGCAGGAACCAGAACAGGCACTTGCCACCCGGGCACGTCAGTAAGCATCGTCTGGAAACCAAGGTCGCTTTGGAAACTCTCGTCCCATAAATGCCGTTATTGGAGCCCAATCCCTACCAATTCCATACAATGAGCTTCTTCGGCTGCAATCAGAGGCCCGCGTTACTTTGGCCCAGTTAAGGTCTGAATACAGCAGTACTGGAGACTCCCCGCAAGTCGTACACGAGAGCGGCCAAAAATAGAAAAAGTTAAGTTAGCAAATTCGGAAAACTTTTAATGCCAATCGACAGTAAATCCTCGAGTATAAAAAACCGAAATATTACCGAAAAATTTGAATTAATGCTACTTTCGTTTTCCAAAGTTGAGAGTTTATAAAATAAAATAAAGTAATAAGAAGAGTGCAACTTCACAACAAGCTTTTCAGGCGTGCCGCGATTTTCAGGCTTTCAGCTACCCAATTCAGCTATTGACGAAAACCTGAAAAGCGCCGAGCGCCCGAAAAGCTTGTTGTGGTGTGGTACTCTTAACAGCTTTTATATGCTGTTTCCAAAACGTTGTAACTTTTTTTTATTTATGTGGCGATTCTAATATTTTTTTTTGTGTCAAGTCTTGTAATCAATTTTTAACCATCTTCTCGACGAGCTAGAGCCATGATAACCACTTAACAAGGTACATTCATTCTCTCAAATCGTCGGCCAAGATTTTTTTCTGACGTTTGCAAGTATTTTAAAATCATATTGAAAGTCAAAAAAAAAGATATTGTTCGCAATTATTGTTTGAGATTGAAAATAAGAATGTGTGTGTGAGTTTGAGTTTTGAATTTTTGAATTATATTGCAGGATGACAATGCAATATGAAAGCTTAATTAATCCGCTAGGTGGTACAGGAATTGAGATATTTGAATAACCTATATTTGTGTATATTCCGATTTGGTTAATATTTGAAATGTATATATATATTACCTAGACGAAAAGAAATAACTCCACAAAAAATGTAGCCGGTAGGTGGCACGGTGGTCGATATATTTCGAAAACCTGCATCTGTGGTTTGATTTGGTTTACATTTACAGTATATATTACTTACATGAAAAGGAATAACTTTCCGGAAAAATTTGCCGGTGCTTTGCGCAGGACATACATATTATTAACTTAATCTTTATTTTTATTAAACCGCAGCTCATAGTTTTTGCTGTTGTTGTTTCAAGCATAAGCATAAAGTGCATTTACGAGTTTTGAAAGTCGTGGAAAACCCGTCTTGAGAGATCTCAGTCATGCGTGTGTTTAAGCGTTGGTTTCAAGAGAATTTTTTTCAATGTAGTAGGAACGGTGCACATTAGAGCGATACGATAAGCGATACTGTACGAAAGCGATATCGACATGCTAAGTACGTAGGAATTGGTAGGAAAGATGAAAACTGTGCTCACTTGCACGACAGCGACACTGCGGCGACATATATCGGCCGAGCGACAAGGTTTGCTATCACACCCCATATGGTATCGCGTGTCGTATCGCTCTAATGGAAAACCCTAAATACATACTCAAATACCATAAAAAAATGACATTTTTTTTTAAATACAATTTAAAAAATTACAATAAAATAAATATTTAAAAAAATTTCCTGCTCAGGAACTCGAACCTTGCATCTCTCGACTAGCTCTTCAGAGCTTTGCTCTATCGGCCATTGCGACTGTTTGAGCGCCGCGAGTAAAATGACATACTTATTCCTTTCACGGTAAGTAAATTGTGTTTTCTCTAAACTGAGTGAAATCGTTTACTCATATTAAGTGAGCCATGTTGTTTTTGTTGTTGTAGCGGCTACAACAACCCCGCCCAGGACGGTTGGTATCTCAGTCGTTGTCGTCAAATTCCACTAACGGCAACCCTTGGAAGCGTGCAGCTGACAACCGCAGGGACAAGGCCGTTAGGGTTGTCGGGTTTTCCGGGCATGCGAAGAGATGTTTCGAGTCATGTGGGGTCTCTCCGCATGCCGGACACTCATTCGGCACATCCTCATTCAACCTACTCAGGTAGGAGTTCAACCTGCTGCAGTAGTCGGTGCGAAGTTGTGCAAGTGTTGTGCGAGTCTCCCGGGGCAGATGAAGCTCCGTCTCGTCTATGTCCGGGGGTGGTATGCCTAGAACGGCATTCACAGGTCTAGAGTCTACATAACTCGAGACTGAGTCCCTGTGAATGCCGTTCAGGGCCTGTCGGTAAGCTGTCGGGTCCAGAGGTTGCTTGTTGAACCTCTGGACTTCGTCTGTCAGTTCATACAGATGCCTCCTGCCGTGCCTAGGCGAGGGCTCCTCTGCAAGCAGCTGTCTGCTTGGGTGGCCACTTCTGTGGCTCCCGATCAGGAACTGCTTGCAGAGCATTATATTGTGCTCCTTTACGGGGAGCATTTGCGCCTCGCCGTGTAAATGGTGTTCAGGCGACATCAGGAGGCGTCCTGTCGCTGTCCTGAGTGCGGTGTTCTGTACAGTCTGTAGCTTCGTCCACTGCGTCCTACTAGTCCCTGGCGACCACACTTTCGCTGCGTAGTTCAAAAACGGCCGGCCTATTGCCTTGTATGTTGCCAGCAACGTTTCTTTGTCTTTGCCCCAAGTACTGCCGGCTAGCGACTTGAGGACCTTGTTGCGGCTCTGTACTTTATTGACAATAGCGGTTGAGTGCGCAGAGAAGGAGAGCAGGCTGTCGAATGTTACTCCGAGTATTTTGGGGTTATTCACAGTCGGAATTGGTGTGTCATCGACGTGAATCCCGGTAGCCTGACCTCCTTCGTCCAGGTTGTGAACAGGGTCGCGGAGGATTTCGTAGGGGAGAGGGCTAGACACTTTGCAGTGAAGAAGCGAGAAAGTTCGGAGAGATACCCGTTTACTTTCGAACACAGGTCATCAATTCCATTCCCAGTCGCCATGATCGAGCAATCGTCGGCATAAGAGACAATCGAGACTCCCTCTGGTGGTTGAGGGAGCTTTGAAATGTAAAAGTTAAACAGTAGCGGGGAAAGGGCACCACCCTGAGGAACCCCCTGTTTTATTTTTCGCTGCTTACTCGTTTTGTCTCTAAACGTTACCGACGAATGTCGACCACTCAGATAATTGGCCGACCACCGTTTGAGGCTCTGTGGGAGAGAGGAGGCTTCGATGTCTTCTAGTAGCGTGGAATGGCAGACGGTGTCAAACGCATTTGACAAGTCCAGCGCTACTAGGACCGTTCTCTCACAGGGGCGGTTTCGATTTAGGCCACGAGTTATTTGTGTGTTTATGGCGTTAAGTGCTGTTGTTGTACTGTGCACTTTACGGAAACCATGCTGATGCTTCGCTGGGGTCAGGTGGTTTGTGAAGTACGGGAGTAGCAAGGCCTCGAGTGTCTTCGCTACCGGAGAAAGGAGTGTTATCGGACGATAGGAATCTCCTTTGTTGGCAGGTTTCCCCGGTTTGAGCAGTGGGACCACTCTCCCCACCTTCCAGATGTCTGGGATGATGAGAGTGGCCATTGACAAGTTGAGGACCTCCGTTAGGTACGCTACCCCGCAGGACCCAAATTTTTCAGCATCAGCATGCATATTCCGTCGGGACCCATGGCTTTGGAGGCTTTCGCCTTCCCGATGGCCACCTGAACTTCACCGCAAGTGAAAGCAAGGGGGGCACAGGTTGTTGGCAGTTTGTGCAGCCTTCTGGTCACTCGACGCTTGGCTTTGTCCACCGGAGGATGCAGTATGAACTGCCGGCTAAAATAGCTCGCGCATCGCTCCGGGTCCGACGAGGCATGGTCGCCGAAGGAAATTTCGACTCTGTCGTCGTGCTTCGTCGGATTAGACAATGACCTCACGGTTGACCAAAGCTTGCTTACACCAGAGGTGAAATTACAGGTCTTCAGATGCTCCTCCCACTTCTTCCGCTTATGTACGTTTACTAGTTGCCGAATCTCCGCGTTGAGATCCCTGATACGGGGATCTCCGGGATCGGCCTGACGAAGGTTGTCGCGCTCATCAGCTAGAACAGCCGCTTCGGCAGGAAAATTCGGACGTGGATCCTTAATACATCCTGCGGGATGAAGCGAGCTGCAGCAGCAGTGACAGCCCTGCGGAACTTACGTTCACCGAGATGGACGTCGGTTGGTGTGGGGAGTGCTGTGAAGGTGTTTTCGGTAAACTCCGCGTAACCTTTCCAATCAGCTTTAGAAAAGTTGATATAGGTCCGGTGTTTGGCGGAGGCAAAGTCGGTTGGTTTATCTATCGAGATGACTATGGGTAGGTGGTCTGATGCTAGAGTCAGCATAGGTCGCCACGTTATGCAGTTTATCAGACCAGCGCTGACTATTGTGATGTCTGGCGAGCTACTGCAGTTACCCATAACCCTGGTGGGTGCGTCGTCGTTCATTGTGCAGAATGTCGAATCGTCTATCTGCTCAGCCAAGTCTGTTCCCCTACGATCGTTTGACAGGCTTGAGTGCCAAAGATCGTGGTGCGCATTAAAGTCACCTACTACCATACGGTTTTCACCTCTAAGGAGCGCACCTATATCAGGGTGATATCCTGCCGGGCAGCAGGTGACAGGGGGTATGTATATGTTAAATATTTCGAGCTCGACATCGCCTGACCGGATAGCGATGCCCTGACATTCTAGGGTGGTATCCCTGCGGTCGATGTCTGCTTCGATAAGACGATACTGCACGGTGTGGTGCGTGATGAACGCTAAGCTACCACCATTATCTCGCTCGCGATCTCGACGGTGCACGTTGTATCCGGCGCAATTCAACAAAGTTGAATTGCTGTGCAACTTCGTCTCTTGGACCGCAGCTATCAATATACCAAGCCGACATATGAAGACGGTTATCTCCTCAATTTGCTCTGTAGCCCGTTGCAGTTAAATTGAAGGAGCTTCATGTGGTTCGGGAGACGTGTCGTGATGTGGGGTGTAAGTGAAGTGTATGTTCTTGCCGCCGTTGGCTGTGTGTGCTGCTGTGGTGATTGCCGCCCTGTGGTGGTGGCGGGGGGCGTCGCAATTGGGGTCTGCGACCTAGCAGCGCAACACGGGCCCTCGAAGTTCCCAGTCCAATCTCGCGTGGTACGCAGACCTGAGCATGCCCTAAAGTGGCACCAGCCAAGGCAGGTGTTGCACTTGACTGATGTCACATTACGGAATATCCTGGTCTGACATACCGTGCAGATTGTAGGGGGAACCAGGAGTTGTTGGCGGCGGCGTGTGGGTGGTGGGGCGGTTGTGTGTGTTATGTGGTCTGTAGTGGCTGTGGTACGGTCTGTGGTGTTATTATGTTGTTGTGTTGTGGTGACTGTGTGAGGCTGCTGTGTGAGTGTGTGAGGCTGCTCGGGCGGACTGTGGTTAGCCGTGGAGGCTGCTCTGTTTGAGCAACAGGGGGCCACGTACGACGTGGTCCACTGTCTATGTGTCCGTAGTCCCGAGCAGACTCTGAGGTAACTCCACCCCTCGCAGGCATTACACTTGACTGAGGTGGAGTTGTGGTGTAATCGTCTCCGGCATACACAGCAGGTGTAGGTTTCTGGCCCTGGGTTTGACTCGATGCCAGCCCTGAGTAGGAGAATACGTTGTGAACGTAGCCCTATGGACGGACAACTTCTGAGATACTTCGCCGACCTAAACGGGGTTAGATCGTCGAAACAACAGCCCTTGGTCGGGTAAAACCCGAGTCATTCCGGTACGTAGAACCGGCTATTGTGGGAATGGTCACTCGTCCCATCTCGTGTGTTGCGAAGTCCTGAGCACGCCCTAAAGTGGCACCAGCCGAGGCAAGAGTTGCACTTGACTTATGTCACGTTACGGTATATTCTGGACTGACAAACAGAGCAGATTGCTGTAGGGACTAGGAGTTGCCGGCGGCGGTGTGTGGGTGTGTTGATTGTGTGCTGCCCAGGTGGGTGGTGGTTTGCCGTGGAGGCGGTCCGGTTCGCACAGCATGGGGCCACGAACGACGTGGTCCATTGCCGGTGCGTACGCAGGCCCGAGCAGTTACGGAGGTGACTCCACCCGTCACAGGCATTGCACCTGACCGAGGTGGAGTTTGTATGCAGTTGTCTCTGGCATACGCAGCAGGTGTAGATTTCTGGCCCTAGTTTTGACTCTATGCCAGCCCTGAGCAGAAGGGTGCGGAGAAGGTGTAGCCCTAGGATCGAGCAACGTTTGATGGATTTCGCCGACCTAAACGGGGTTGGATCGCCGAAACAACAGCCCTTGGTCGGGTAAAACCCGAGGCATTCCGGTACGTAGAACCGGCTGTCGTGGGAATGTCTGCTCCTGGGAAAGATCTGCTCTTTTCAGAACCCCGAGAGAGATATAAGAGAGGAGATTTATGACGAGTAGAACAAAATTGATTTGAATGATATAAAATTATTCATAGACAACTAATTATGTAGTATTTATATTTGCATGTATGCCAATCCTATATTATGTATGTATGAATAGTATATTTTTACAGGTAGAGGCCTGATATAAGTATCTAATAAATATAATATAAACGTCGCTTGGCGTACAATATGCGTAAATTTCACTAAAAAGCAAATAAACTTATTTTCTTCTAAACTTTTGAACCTATTAAATATGAGCCTATACTAAAATTATTGACTATTAAATTTGTGAAGTAGGCTAGCACTGAGACACGGTACCGAAAATATTTTTTTTTTTCTCAGCCACCTCATACGCGGTATTGAATTTTCGTATACGCGATATTGCACGCCAACCGACGATATGTATGTATATGAATTTTTTAGTACACAAAGCCCGACACCGACGATGATGCATTGTCAGTGCCACTACTAGATGCTCCAAATTTTTGCAGGGGAACAATCGATATTTTTAGATCTCGATTGGATGGCTTTCGCAATTCGATTGCGGCATGTTTTAATTGTATACTGCATTCGGGATTCGCACCAAGGGTAAGTTGTGCACTCTCTTTCTCGAACAGTGTGGCCATAGCTTCGAGTAGTTCGACAAAGCCTATAGATAGAGCTGCACGCCTTATGCGATTTAATTCCTTAAAGAAGTGCTGTGTCTTTTCTGGCATTTTCTTTGCATGGCGTAATACTTTTTGGACGTCTGACTGCAGACTAACTTGTTTAATCCACACCACACAGCTTTGTGAATATGAACGCTTATCTGCCTTGACCGGAAATGCACTTGTCTCGCCAGGCAAAAGATCTTCAGCAAATCCTAACAACTTCAAATCTCCCAACCAGGGAATAACATTATTTCCGGGCGGTAGGATATTTAACATTAAATTGGACTTTTTTTTACTATCTGCATAGGAATATAGAAAGCCATACCAGTTATCATTTAATAATACCAATGCAGCTAGATTTTCGACTTTCATGGCACCATGCAACAATACGCACATAGACTCTTTCTCCAAAGCACTGGTTACTGCACCACTGCTAGTTTTTATTAGGCTTGCTTCAGCATCCTCACTGCTTTCGTCCCCATCCTTAGCTTCTTTCGTGTAGAAATCGCGTATGTCTTGCTCTAGTTTTTCGTATTCATAGTTTGGCTGGTTTACATCTAGGGTCGATTTTGTATTAGTGCCCACGTTGCCGCCAATTGACGACTTTGAGGATCCGGATTTTTCCGAGGAGCGTCGTGTTGGCTTCTCTCGGTCTACTTTAGGAATAACTAAATGGCGACTTAAAGAGGCAGGTGAACCGATCTCGGAAAGCGACAAATATCCGCATACCTCGATTTTTTGTGAAATTTTAAATTCGCTTTTAATGCCATTTTCAGTTCTATATTCTGCCGGTGGGGGCCATATCAAAACTGGACATTCCAGTCTGAAATAACCACCGACTTTTAGTAACACTTCGTATGGCTTAAAGTTAGCCTCGCAAACTCGCTCAATCAACTCAAACATAGCAGTACGGCCAAGCTCACTCTTGTGGCTTGAGTGAGACGTCGGGGCCGTCGTTGTTGTATTGGCACTAATATTAGCCGAAGATTTGGTTGAGTCGTTTGTATTTTCTGTTCCTTCAGCAACTTCTTTTGGTGGCTTCGGCAAATATAGTTGACCTTTTAAAAAATTACGAGAGTTATATAAATAATTATATTTCATGTGAACAAATGTTATAAATAAAAACCTTTTAATCCAGTGAAGTCAATTAGCTGTTGATACATAGGAAACGCTAGAGTGAAGTAATAATCATTATGAACACCCATGCAAATGAAATTTAACTTTATTGTCTTTAGATGCGTAATCCAATCGTACTCACTCATTTTCCTTGTCAACGTAACTTTGTAAGAACCCTTTGAGTGCGGTACTACCAAAACTGAAAGAATATACATATGCATGGTTAACATCTCTTTACAATGCAAACTTATCATGTAAGCTGGATTATAGTAACGACTTTTCCAATGAGTTGCGAGAGCTATCAGTAATGAGAAAGGGTTAGTTTTCACATTTTGTTCCAATTTTAATATATTCATATTCTTCTAAAGCAATGCATTAACTTTAAATTTATTTTACGTACCCCAAACCACAGTCTGTGAACACTACAACCTGACAATAGTTTTGTGTACCCCAGTTCGTAGATAATATGCTCGCAACATTTTTCAACATGCCTATAATGCAGAGCTTATCACCAGATTCTACTTTTTTTACCGCTTGACGGATGACATCGTAATCCATGATTCAATTATTATTATTGAATCATGTCGTAATCGCGGGTAAAATCAACTTTAACTTCTGATATCGTTGAATAAGTAATGAGTGAAACATGTTCCAATTTTGATGTAGATGACAAATGTTCTAACAGTTGTGACATCCCTTTCAAAGCCAGCTGATGGTAAGTTAGGGTATTTTCTTCACTGCGTCCTGATATCTGTCGTTGCATCGACAACGATACTGCAATAGGAGGGCAATTATATCTCTAGCTTTTACTAATTCTTTATACTAACCGTCTAAGGCGATAATAGTGGGCATTATAACTTATTTAATTTATGATTAATCCGAGTCAGCCCGGAAAAAATGCAGAAGTTTTACAGCAGACTACGTGGTCTCCTAATATGAAGTTCAGGACAGGTCGAATAGCCAGTGGAATAAAGTAATTTCGTTAGTACCAAAAAAGGCATGTTACTATATTTATTATAAACATATATTAAAATATCCATAATTATAAAGTAATAATATTTGTTTACCTACACATGTTTTAGTGATGAGACATCTATATGGCAAAGACGGCATATCGATGTTTAGTAATAACATCGAGCGCTTATAACATCGACTGTTTACTATAGGTCTTAAGGCTCTGTTATGCATACTTGGCATTGCATGCACTGCTATACCATTTTTACGTAGAAATCAAAAACCAACAGACTTTAGGCTCCGTTATGCATACTTGGCATGGCTTGAGAGCTGTCACATAAGAAATCTGTTAAATGAGCCTCGCGTGTAATCGGTTATCGAACGCACAGCACTACATACGTAGAAGTCTGTTGGTTTTTGATTTCTACGTAAAAATGGTATAGCAGTGCATGCAATGCCAAGTATGCATAACAGAGCCTTTTTACGTATGTAATGCTGTGCGTTGGGTAACCGCTTACACGCGAAGCTCATTTAACAGATTCCTTATGTGACAACTCTCAAGCAATGCCAAGTATGCATAACAGAGCCTTTACGCTGCGTTTACATAAGACAATTTGAGACAACACAATTGAGAATATTTATTAGTTGTCAAATTGTTGTGTAAACCCCGCAAACATATTCTGAGCGTTCAGGATATATGAGTCCGAAAGGAGTACTAAGTAGATAAGAAATATAAGGCCGGTTGCTCAAAGCCTGGTTGACACTAATCCCCGGTTAAACAGCGTTATCGACGTTACCGACACCATGTTATTTGCATGGAGCCGAAAACGTCGATAACGATGTTAAGTAGTGATAACCAGACATTGAACAACCGGCGCTAAGGGACGGTTACTCAATATCTGGTTAACGCTAATCTGCGGTTAAACATCGTTATCGACGTCTTCGACTCGATGCATACAACAGGGAGTCGGTAACGTCGATAATGATGTTTAACCGGAGATTAGTGTTAACCAGACATTGAGTACCCGGCCCTAAGGGCCGGTTGTTCAATGTCTGGTTATCACTACTTGCCGGTTAAACATCATTATCAACGATTTCGACAGCATGCATATAACATGTGATCGATAAAGCAGTCGTTGTATCTAACCGGAGCTTCTACCTCCGATTTGTGCTAATCAGACATTGAACAACCGGTCCTAATCCCCAGTTAAACATCGTTACCGACACAATAATATATGCATGGAGCCAGTAACGTCGACAACGATGTGTAACTGGGATTAGTGTTAACCAGAGATGGTGAAAATGACCATATGAATCAGAAATTGTTATTAAGGGCCGGTTTCAATTCTGTGCATATAGAACGGTGTCGGTAACGTCAATAACGATGTTTAACCAGGGATTAGTGCCAACCAGGCTTTGAACAACCGACCCTAAATAATTGTGTCCAGCTAGCTTTTTCTGTACGAATCAGTGTGCTCGTCCTCTGTTGCACTGCTATACCGACTTCTTGGCAATTTTTCCAACCGGTTACCCGGCGTTTACATGAGACAATTTTATCAAGACAATAGCAACACATTTACACTTCTCTCATTGCCTTCGTCACTGTCTTTGATATTTCTAAGGCAGTGAATCGGATAGTAAATTGGACGATTCGGTTTTGTCTTGGTTAATTTGGGAAAAATTGGCAAGGCGTAATCACAGAAAATTGCAGAATTATGAAAAATTTGTTTGCGTTTGGATATTTTAGTAAATTATACCAAATGACACTAACGGCGGTTGCTGAAAAGTGTTTTTTCTTTGACAACTAATACAAATTCTCAAATATCTTGTTAAAAATTATCTTATGTAAACGTAGTGTTAGGGACCAAAATGCGAACTTATTTTCCGAACAGCTCCATATATATGCTTTACCGCCACTTCATTTCCAAACATACAAAACAGAAAGAGATGGCTATATTTGTTGTAGGGTAAAAACAATTTTCCTTGTCGATTAACATCGTTGATTTTGTCCACAGCAGTTTAGTTACAATCTGGACAATTATATTTTTAAAACTGCTAGTAGACATAAATAAATTGTTTGTTTTGCATAAAATCACATGCAAAATGTATTAAAGATACAAGAAATCGTCGAGAAATATAATTTGTGTAGAAGTTTACTCGGTAAGACGCGTTGTGGAGTCGTGAAAAAAAGTGTGTGGCTGTTGGCTGGGCTGCGTTTTGTTCGTGTCGGTGTTGGTGTCGTTTGCCGTTTCTGACGGCGGCGTGTACTTTATGTTTATTGCGACAAAAATGCGCTTTTCAGCATTGCCAAAAAGTCTGAAGAGAGATACTATAATCAAACATTTTCCAGTAAATTTCCGTTTATTTAGAGGGTTTCGACTTGCATAAGAACTTTCAGGTCCAAATAGAATAAGACCCATGGACGCGGAATGAGCAGGGATAGCAAGGCACACTGTGCGGGAAATAAAAGCAGAAATTGCGAGTTACGTACCTACGTACATGTGTATATCGCATGGATTGTCTAATATTGGCGCTGTGGAATTAAATACATATATATGTATATATTTTTTTATATGAAGTTATTAGTTTAGGCTCTCCGTGATAATGGCCTTATTCATAAATTATAAAATCAATTTAAAGAGATTTATAAAGTGACACTTTTCATAAAAGTTTTCGATCTATAAACACCTTTAATTTTTATGAATTTCGGTCTTAAAGTTTAATGTAGGAGATATACATATCACCAAATCTTAAGAGTGTGGTTAAACGCAGCAATGCAAGAGCGTTTTCTACGCATTTGCTGTCAAAATGCGGAACGAAGTACTTACTTTCACGTGTAAACACCCTATAAACAGTTTTTGCCAATTTGCAGCAATCGCTTTCACCCTAGGCTATTTGTTAATAATAAATAAATAAAACAAATCTAAACTAGCTGTTAAGAGCGCGTCAGATGTGGCAATATATATTTCGGAAATGCTGTCTAATTGAGAACATTCAGAACGCAATTGCATGAGCAGTCAAGCCTTTGCATTTTCGAAAGAGGTTTTTTTTTATTTCCGATAGGCGAATTGCAGATTGGTAAGTGGATGTCAAGTAGCTGTTACGCGTTTTGCTGCCAAAACGCGAAAACTTTCGCGTGTAAAAAGTAAAAAGTTATTTTTGCAGATTCGCAGAAATTCAATACCTAAATAAGGGATACTCTATGAATTTGTACAACGATGGGGGACCACGCCTCCTCCGCCCCCACCCCTAAATCGTTGTACAAATAGCTAAAGATTTCCCATAAAAAGTGCTTTCGAAAGCCACTTTACATGCTAGGTGTAACTAATAAATAATAAATAAATAAATAACTGCTCCTGCAATCTCTTGGAAATTCTGAGTTTGAAAGACTTTTGAAAAGGATTTGCTTTTGCCCATTTCCATTAAGAGCTTAACGGCAGTAAACAGCTCAGAAAGTGTAAATAACGTTAACTTGGGGTTACCAGGAAAGTTCATTTCTTACTTTTTGCTTTTTTGCTTTCGATTGCTTGTACTTTATATGAGCCATCAACGCCTTCGAACTGTAATCTCATTTTTCCATCAGGCATAAACTGTAGTTAATGCTTGAACTATCAACATCTACTAAAATTTTCATCAAACCTCAAGCTTTTTAACCAAATTTTTTAGCAAAATTTCGCGTATGCAATTTGATACCAGCCTCTTAAATTTTAGTGCAAGTTTAAAATGGCCCAAAATTCTCGTTGTGTTTTGAGAATAAATTTTGCTGTCGAATACGTTGTAGCAAACAGCGCATTCCGCAAACCGCTAATTTGGTTTTGCCGATTTTGACAATTCTCAAGTAAAAGTAAATACCGCAGAACCTCTAAATGCATTGAAATTGACTAATACTTTCACAGATATCACCGTTTCTAGCATTTTCTTCATTAAATTTTTTTTATAAATCACATTTTTATAATTTAACACAATTAAACCGCGTTCCCTATCGAAAAAATTAACAGTTCTGCCGGTTTCTATGGTTCTATTCTTCTTTATTTACTTTTACTCTAAATCCAAATATAATGTCAAGAAAGTTCCCACAAAAGATGCAGACGGGAACATTAGTATATTACAAATAGTTCGGCAACGTTTCCGTAAAGAACAAAACGAACAATACTCCCGGCAACATTCTGAAAAAGAGCAAAATGAGAACAAAACTCTTACAAACGTTTCCAATGAGAACGAAAATATCGAGATCTTCTTCAAGGAGGATCAAATAAAAACTATTCAAACATATCAAACTAATACAACGCGAATAGTAAAAAAAAAATTGTTCCAGATTCGTTCCGTCAGAAAGTTCCTGACACTTTATTAACAAATTGTTCGTCGAGAGAGAAGGTTCTTCCCTTCTTGGTTTTACCAGAATCTCGAGAAAGTAAAGCACAAATATTCTTGAAAGCAAAACACCCCCGTAAGGAGAATCGACACCCACCACCCACCATGTATTTGACGATTTTAAAACCGCACGAAACGAAAGTGTGGTCGCCGGGGACTAGTAGGACGCAGTGGATGAAGCTGCAGACTACACAAAACACCGCACTACGGACAGCGACTGGATGCCTTCTGATTTCGCCAGAACACCACCTGCACGACGAAGCGAAAATGGTCCACAATAGTCCAACTTCGCTCTGGCATGCGGAGAGACACCGCACGACTCGAAACAACTCTTCGTATGCCCGGAAAACCCCACAAAACTAACGCATGTGTCCCTGCGGACAGACCTTATAGAGGCTGCACGCTTTTTGGGTCTTCCGTTAGTTGAGCTTGACGACAAGGACCTAGATACAAGCCGATCTGACCTGGGTGTTATTGTTGTAACAGCATACAAACTCCCCAAAGACTTTTTGGGGAGTGTTGCTGGAGTGAGAGTCTTTGGCCAGATATAAATCTGGGTCGTTCCGGTTACGTAGACCCGACTGTCGTGGGAACGATCTGACCTGGGTTATTGTAGCCGCTAAAACAACAACTACGAAACGGGACTCTTCGAGCCGTTCGATATCAATCGCGGATTTAGGCATGAAAAATGAGCATTGTGTGACCTCTTCAATCTGATTACATAATTACATTAAATATTTTTTTTATGTATTAAAGTTATGACATTTAGAGATTCTAAGGGCTTGTCAAGATGTTATGATGAGCTAAGGGCACAATAGACCTAGCGGTCGCAGTGCTATATTTAACTAACCATGCATCTAGATATCTAAGTATTTATGTCCGATCAGTTTGTATTTAGTGAATTTGACAGTTAAGGAAATAAACACACCCCTTAAGATGCCAAAAAGCTTAGCCAAAGTTTGGTAAATGAAATAACTTCGTCTATCACAAATTCAAATTCACTAAATTCTTTTTGTTAAGGTTTCTTATTCGAGCGAGTGACGGTTGCCGGTTTTGCGACTCCACCAGTGAGACACTTCTACACATCTTCACCGAGTGTGATGCAGTCTGCAGAATATGTGAGAGAAGTTTAGGCTCAATGTGGCCACAGCTTATGCATATTCACTCTCTATCCCTAAACATACTGTTGAACTTTCTCAGGGATTTAGGGTTGAGGAGATATTGTGAAGAGTGGAGGGCACAATAGTCCACTAGATCACGGGGCAAACCTCATTTTATTATCTATGTATCTACCTTCTTACTGCATTGAATTTTATGGACTACATACTATGTACATAACTGTAATCTCCGTTGTACTTTTTTTTAGGTAATGCAGTTGCAATAAGTAATAAATACACGTATTATACATATACTGGATACTGGAAACTATAAATGAGAAGATTACATTGAATTAGACTTAAAATATGAATCCCTCCGAGTTGCGTATGATGTGGATGAGTCATTATAATCCCGAGCGCATCACAGTGGAAGACGCTCCGTCATATTTTGGGCATCCATCGGTGGGCCTTTCTGTTATGGATGAATTGGCCTCACATCAGCAAACAATGGTGAGTGTAGATAGGAAAGTATTTGTAATATCCTCATGATTCATAGACACACTCTCTCGAAAGCATTTGACCGCATATACATACATAAGTACATGCGTAAGTTAAATATATTTAATGTTACATATGGAACATTCGGACTCGTGTGCATTTCATTTAAGATTGAATTTTAAATCTTCAATTGCATCTTATTTGCTATAATTTCACTCATTTATTTCTAAAAAATCTTTCTTTTTCTTTTCATATGTTTTTTTTCTTGCTGTGTTTGATCATTTACTCCTCCCCAAAAAAAAAAAAAACAAAAACATAAAATAAACGAAATTACCGAAATTTTTAAAATCTACTTATAAAATATCACATTGTCGCGTAAATAACTGATATAAACGCTTCACACAAACAAACTTTAATATTTGGACGGCAACATCGTACTACTCAACTTACAAAATATGCGCGTATTTTATTTAATGACTTTATTATATGCAAATGTGAACATATCGTCGCGCTTATTGTATTTAATATGTAAACCTAAAATCATAAAAAGGATTTGAATCCGATGATGAGCATTGTTGGGGGGGGATTTTAGTGGTCAGGCGGCAGCAGCAGCAGCAGCGGCGGCTGCATTAGGCGTGCAGCCGACAGCTCTAATTGCGGCCAACTCCAATGACATTTACGGGCTAGCACAGGTCGGTGGTTTGCATCAGCAATTGCTTCAACAATCTGCAGCAGCCGTTTTCCAAAATTACACTGAAGTTATTGATGATGACGATGGTCCCGGCGGAGTGGTAATAGGTGGTAGCAGCGGTGGCTGTGGCAATGTCAGAGTTGTAGATAAGTCTTTGGCTACACAATTTGTGCATAGCGACGAGCCACAACCTATTTACGATCAATTGGAAGACGGCGGCGGCTTCGGCCATGGTCTGGCACCAAAACAGGAAATTATAAATATTGACGATTTCGTCATGATGACCGACTCCAATTCGTACGATGGCACAGATTTCATGGCTGACGAGAGAGAAATGACAGAGGGAAGTAGAGCCGGCGTTGATATTGCTCATGCACAAGACATGGATGAGAATGGTGTACTAGTGCCATTGGATAATGCTCATAAATTAATGGGAGATAATGGCGATGACTTGTTGGTGCCCGCCTCCACATCGGCTGCGCTACAAGGAGCTGTTCCGGCCTCTTCTCGGGGAATCGGTGTCGGTGGTGGTGGCGGTGGTGGAGGACCTGGGCACCATCGCTCATCGCAACGGAAAACCCGCAAAATTGAGCCGGTCAACAGACCAGGACTGGTGCTGAAGACACCAATAGCTTATAAGGGGAACATAGATCCATCGGTTATACCAATTCAAAAAGATGGCATGGGTATGTTTTTATTTAAGGCTTTTGAAATTAATTTTTTTTCACTGTCTGTTTAAAGACTCATTAAAGTAAGTCGGAAAAACACTAAAAATTAAGAATGTCTTACAAACTTGAAACTGAATCTTAAAATATTTGTATATGGAGTTTAAGGTACTACATACACACACACATACACATACACATATGTACATTTCTACTACTAACTAAAAATTGTGCTGTAAAACTTCATCGTCTTACCCCAAGTTGTTTTTTTGTAATACGAGGTTTCCGCGTCGCAAACAACTTTTTGATCCGTTAATTTTCTGACTTCAATAAAGTTTATATTTTTTTTTACTTATATAGAACTCGTAAGTTTATGTTATTATTACCTGATCTTTCGATTAGATGACTAAAGACAAAATTAAAAATGACCATAGTTTAGAAAAACTACAAATAAATTTTTGTTTCGAATTTTCACCATGAAAATGGGAAAATTTTGGAAAACCCTTGTGCACCATCGGATAGCCCGTACAAAAGAAAGAAGTCATAGTTTTCGCATTATTTTTCCTATTTTCGTCGCAGTTTGCAATGCCTTTCACGTTTAGGTGTTTGAAATAGTGTTCCTCGTGAAGTTCGAAGGCATAAAATCTAGAATAACCAATCCAATTCTTCTATTTTAAAAATTACAGTTCTTATGAAATATGTATTTGACATATACATACATATGTGCATTTATCAGTGACCGATTACTCTAAGACGAGAAATCCGCTAATTTCGAAATTATCTTTCAATTGAGCATTTTTGGTATTTTTATTACATAATGATTTCCTTCAATTTGGCTTGCAAATAAATAAATTTTCTTAAGTGCTCGGGTGTTCAAGGGCTAAATAAATACCACTCAATTTACCACTGCAGTATTATGAAAAAGCAGTTACAATAAAAGACAGCAGGTCAACCTTTATTACAGGAAGTGAATATGGATCTAATATAATGTATATAATCCTTCCTTCCCATTATATCGTACCAGTAAGATCAAAGATTGGAAAATACGTAGAAGTCCTAGGACAAACGATTAAGGTACTCGGGATCGGTTGCCCGATAATTAGAAACAATTTTCTTTTACAAGTTTTGATCATATATTTGTATGTATTAGTTTTAATTATTTTTTTTTTTTTTAAGAAAATGTAGTGCTAGTTACAATGAAAATCATATAAACGTTGTACAAGATTATTTATTCGACAAAGTTCAAAAAACGGTTATCAAAATTTCAAACTTTTTAATTTGAATTTTTAGAACAAATTAGTTGATTTTTGAGAATTTCTTTTGTTAGTGGTGTTGCTCATTATCTCCCATACAAAAAAAAAAATCCGAACATACTACTTTGTATAAAAGAAAGCGCTTAACATAGTCAGCGAAAAAATCAAAGAAATGTTTGAGGTAATTCAAACTTGCAAAATATTACATATACTAAAATTGAATAGGCAATAAAACTGCATACCTAATTTTTTTCTAGAAATACCAATAAAAAAGTTTGAAATTTTGATGTCTATTTTTTGAACTTCGTCGAACTATTGTAAATCTTATACAATCTTTAAAAATCTGAGTTAATGATTCTTGTTGTAGTATGCATTATATTTTCGTAAAAAAAATATAGTAAAACTTATAAATAAAAATAGATGGTCAAAACTTCGTTTCTACCAAAAGTTCAGAATATGAGGCCAGTCGGATCATAAAAACGGGGTTTTAGTAATAAACCTATTCCAGGGAGATCTGGCGAGCAAACTTTTCGCAAAATTTTTTCTGGTAGCGGACACTTTTCATTTTGAATCTGTTCCAAGTCACTCGTGTGTCGGGTAAATTTTTTTTTTTTAAATATTTGTCTGCGGAACAAATACTTGCTTATTTTGAATAATAGTCAAATCGCCCAACCTCTCCTCGCCAGTCAAAACTTTTAGTGAATGTATGTACGCATCTATCTATTAATTTTACCAATATACCTACACACATCGCAACATAGATACGATTTTAAGTGATAACCAATCTCCATCACCAAGTAGCGTGTAAACAAGCCTTTTGCAGAAGGATGAGCCGAATCAGACCGTAGTTAAGTTTTTTAAGTAATAATTTAACTTCGACGAAAACCAAAATGAGCCATATATTGGTCGAAACGTTCTCAAGTTGTTATGACGTGATTGTTATTTATAAGAAGATATACGTGTGTATGTCTATACATACATATATCCCTGGTGCCCAATAGTGATTCCTTTATTTCGTTTCTTCTCTTTCAGCCGTCTGTGAGCGTTGCGGTGCCATTGGTGTAAAACACACATTCTACACTAAATCACGACGCTTTTGCAGTATGTCTTGCGCTCGCGGAGAGCTTTATTCTCTGGTGGTCAACAATACAAAAATGGCTGGTGGTGGGCAGCAACAACAGGCAATCTCTAATTCACCTGTCCATGATCACATCGATCACATTGATGGCGCAGCTTGCAGTAACAATGGTAATAGCAACGACATACACCAACAAAACGACACACAACGCCAACAATCCGATATTGAGTTGGCGTTACGTGTTGCTCATATTAAGAATTCGAATTACCGTTTTCGCATAACAGACCAATCGAAAATTACTCAAATCAATGGTTTCGGCGAGCCAATCATGTCCACCCAACTATCGTCAGGCATGGACGCAGCTATCGGTTTAACGGCAATCAATAGTGAAGACGGAGCTTTAAGCTTGAATGCGGCCGGCTTGGCTACGACGCCGAAGGTACTACAAATGTATCGGGATGTTTTGCCTCAAGAGGACCTGCCACAAATACCGAAATTCGAACGTTTGCCAGTTTCATGTCCACAAATGGAAAAGATTATTAGTATACGCCGGCGTATGTACGATCCGACACATTCTTTCGATTGGACGCCGCGTTTGTCGAGAGCCAACTTTTTCGCTGCCCCTGTCACTTGTTTTCCGCATGCCCCAGGCTATGAAGTATGGGATAGCATTGGCATTGAGATGAAGGTGGAGGTGGAGAACACGGATTGTGATAATACGGAAGTGGTACAGCCAGGGCAGACTCCGCACTCTTTTTGGGTAGCGACCATTTTAAATATTTGCGGATACAAAGCATTGATGCGATACGAGGGTATGTATAAGAGCACTAAGTTAAAGATTTCTAATACATACATGCATATACATATGTACATATTAAACAAAATCGCTCTGTTTGATGGAATGCCATAACTAAAAAAAATTAAAAATTTACAAAAGGATTATTGTCGCGAACAAAAAACAAAAACCACTCGGCTATTACGAAACAAATATTTTTGCACTATTGTCTTGTGAAAAAAGATATCCCTCACAATTCATTAAACAGTCTTTTGATGAAATATTTAACCTCCGGAGTAACTATCCTTGGTACTCCATAAGAAAATATTGGGTTGTTGGGGGATATCACGTATGTGCATCTATCACATTTATTTTAAATATGTTTTCTGATTAAAAAAATATCAAACATGGAGTTACCATTTCAAAAGCAAACGATTTTGCACTGGTTGTGTGATAACTTGTTGAAATTTGACTTGAATAAAATTGTATTTTTTAATTGCAGGCTTTGACGAGCCCACCCATGACTTTTGGGTAAATCTCTGTAATGCGGAAGTACATTCGGTCGGTTGGTGTGCGACGCGGGGCAAACCTCTCATTCCGCCACGCACTATAGAAAATAAATACAAGGATTGGAAAGATTTTCTTGTAGAAAGATTGTCTGGCGCACGTACACTGCCGTCCAGCTTTTACAACAAAATCAATGACAGCATGCAGTCACGTTTTCGACTAGGCTTGAATTTAGAATGTGTGGACAAAGATCGTATTTCGCAAGTTCGTTTAGCCACTGTTACGAAAATTGTGGGTAAACGTTTATTCTTGCGGTACTTTGACTCGGATGACGGGTTTTGGTGCCATGAGGACTCGCCAATAATACATCCAGTGGGCTGGGCGACAACAGTTGGACATAATTTAGCCGCACCACAGGACTACTTAGAGCGGATGTTGGGTGAGACCAGTGGATGTTCTCTTCACCTGTTCACATTTGTTGATTTGATTTTTCCCTTGAAATATATTTATTTGTAGCGGGTCGTGAGGCCATGATAGAAGTGCATGAAGATGATGCCACTATTGAGCTTTTCAAAATGAATTTCACCTTCGAAGAATATTACATGGACGGCAAAGGTAATGGCTTTGTGGAAGGCATGAAATTGGAGGCAGTTGATCCGCTGAATCTCTCATCAATTTGTGCTGCCACAGTAATGGCCGTCCTCAAATTTGGTTACATAATGATACGCATCGATTCATATCAACCAGATGCAACAGGGTCAGATTGGTGAGCTCGACGCTTTTCTTAAAGCAAAATGCAATAGGAAAATGTCAAATTTCTTAATAAAATTTCAATTATAAAAAGGTTTTGTTACCATGAGAAGTCGCCCAGCATATTCCCAGTGGGGTTTTGCGCTTCCAACAGAATCACATTGACTCCACCAAACGGGTTTGATGTGAACACATTCAGCTGGGAAACGTATTTGCAGGAAACAGGTAGTATTGCCGCTGGCCAACATTTGTTCCACCGCATTGTGCCCAATCATGGATTTGAGGTGAGCTATTTGTTGCTTTTAAGTAGGCGCTTCCGAACTCGACTCATTTAAATTTTTTTCAGGTCGGTATGAGCCTTGAGTGTGCTGACCTTATGGATCCCCGTTTGGTTTGCGTAGCAACTGTAGCTCGTGTGGTTGGACGTTTGCTCAAAATACACTTTGACGGTTGGACCGACGAGTACGACCAGTGGCTAGATTGCGAATCGCCCGATGTTTATCCGGTTGGTTGGTGTGTGCTAGTCAATCACAAGCTTGAAGGTCCTCCTATGCCTGTGCAATCGATGGCCAAGGTGAACACGAAAGCGAAAAGTCCGAAAAAACGGAAGAAAAAATCAACAAATTCGAAAGGAGGTGAAAGTTTAAATGCAGGTATGTACCAAATTAAAACTAATTCGAAACAAGGATTTATTTAATCGTGCCCTTTTTTTATATATACAACAGCAAAACCGCGAACAATTGCTTTAAAAACTAATCCGCATCTTCCAAAATTGAGCATTAAGCTTGAACTTAAACCAGAACATCATAATGCCGCCTTCTACGAAGATAACGAAGACGACGACGATGATATTGAATATGAGGACGATAGCACGAGTCACCGTTCTGGGCAATCGACACCATTATCACACAATGAGATGAGCCAGCATGCTTTAATGGAAAAGACGACGGCAGCACAGCAAACGTCAACTTCTCAACCTCCGACGCAAGCGCGATGTGCAAACGCAACTGTTAAGAAATCAGTTTCACCAGCACCGCCAGGTGTGGTTCGCAAGGCCACTAGCTATATTGGGGTACGTAGCATATTAAAAGTTTTCGAAAGCTTTGTTTTCAGCTTGAAACGTAACTGTCGTGAACGAGCAACTCGTCACGTAAAAAAAAACAACATATTTTTCGGATAACCTCAGATATGTCGTCACTACACACGAATAAAGGCGCGATAGTGTTTTGACGGCGAATAAAGGCGCGATAGTGTTTTGACGGCGAAAAAAGATGCTTATGAAAAACTTAGGCGAAGTATGTTTAGAGTTTTTGCCCCTAAAGTTTTTTTATGCGTCAACGTTTGAGCTCGCGCCTTTATCGGTATGATGACCTTTCGTCTTGAAAGGAAAATTGAAAAGAAACTAGAAGAAGAAAATTGGAAAAGAGTGAGTGTATTTGTACATTGAAACGGCATTTGCCTGAAACCACTCTCGTGTAATCACCAAGTAAATACATTTTTTAGTTCTTTGTCTCAAAATTGTATGACAGAAAGAAGTGGCATAGGGATTCGGATAACTGGAAAATTCTGTACCCAATCTGATTAAAATAGTGTTGCAAAAAAGAAAACTAACTGCACCTGCAAGTACTTTGCGAATTTTTTTTGTACATAGTATGGTCAGTCTACATATCGGCTTATATTTAATACCCCCTATCTGGAATTTTCATAAAAACTAGTTTTTGTTGAAACCCAGCTGGGACTTAACTGTCATTACTGATGTTAACTCTAACTTTGAGATTTAGTAGTAAATTCTACCAGCAAGCTGTGGCGTAGTGGTAGCACCTGGGTTCAAGCCCTGGTCAAAGCAACATCGCAAAAATATGGAAAAAAAGATTTTTTCTTAACAGCGGTCGTCCCTCGGCAGGCAATGGCAAATCTCCGAGTGTATTTCTGCCATGAAAAACAGCTTCTCATAAAAATACAATCGCCGTTCGGAGTCGGCGTAAAACTGTAGGTCCCTGCGATTTGTGTGACAACATCAAGTCGCACGCCACTAGTCGGAGGAGAAGCTGGGCCAAACACTAACATATGTGTAAGCGCCAATCTATTATTATTTCTAAGCTATTTATAAGGAGTATTAACAGCATCGATGACACTTATTTCTTAGGTGGATTTTTATATCAGAAGCCATCGGCGTAGCCAGAATGAAATTTAGGGGGGGCTCGACCCTATTAAGCTGGAGTTTCAGGGTACTATTTTGTATATATATAAGGAAAATTTCCACGTTAGGGGGGTATTGAATATAGGCCCTCGATATGTACATACACGGTATATGATATAATTACGTAGTAGAATAAGTTTGCCTTCTTCAATTCTCTTTGAACAGATTTCCAATCCAGATTACACGCATTACCAGCCTTAACAAGTTTAGTACAAAAAATAAAAACTAAAATTAGAAAAATAAATTAAAGGAATGGCCGTTATTAAAGTTAAAAGTTATACAGGCAGGTTGTGCAATTCGCTTCCGAGTGAATTTCAATTCGATTCGCTTTGAATTCAAATTGGCAGGGGTTGAAATTCACTCGAAAGTTAATTGCAGAACCTGCCTGATGATAAAATACAGACAATTAAAAACCATCCACTGGTTATACATATTGACTTCAACATATGTATTTAGATAGCGAAACTGATAATTATACAACATACATATCGTTACGTTAATTCACAAAGGCCCTAAATAACACTTTTTTTCGAAACTGCGTTTTTCACAGATTTTGGTAGGATGTATGTATTAAAATACATCTTCAATAAAAATTATCAAGTGTTAGCACAAAAAATAACCACTTTTTAAAAAGCCCTACCTGTTTTTGATGCCCTTTTTTATTAACCGCCTTAAAAAAAGAGAATGTTCATAATTATGATCACTTAAGTGAATGTAAATGCTGCGGAAAATATTCACGGAAAGTTGTTGTGGCTAGAGATACTATTCCATGCGAAGGCAATTTTGTTAATTGCATAAGATTTGCACCGTTCTCCCGATTTTCAAAAATGGGGTGTCAAATGAAAGTGCTTGGCCTCTAGATGTGTAGTAGGTATAGATTTTTTTATTGTCACCTGCGTTTAAAATTATGATATTTACATCGTTTCCCGATTTTCAAAAATGGGGTGTCAAATGAAAGGGCTTGGTCTCGAAATGTCCAGTAAGGATATATTTTTTTAATAAAGTTGCCGCCTGCGTTTAAAATTATGATATTTACACCGTTCTCCCGATTTTCAAAAATGAGGTGTCAAAAGGTGAGGCCTCTATATGTAAAATAAGGTTTTATTTTTTTAAATATTGTTTGAAATTTCATATTAAAGAAATATTTATTTCCACACTTATATCTATTCCGCACTTATAAATATGTATGTCCGAACCCCGGTTAGGGCCTTTGTGAATTAAGGTAATGATATATGTTTTTATAACTGATTTGACTTGATGCACATTTGGAAGCCTGCACAGACACACAGAAAATAACTTCCATATCTCAGTTATACATATGATTTTTATGCGGGCAATTCATAAATCTCTGTTAAGCTGTTCAATGTTTTTAGTAAAAATTATGGAGCCTTGCAAAAATATCATTTCCATTGTTGCTTTTGGCGTACAAATAGTGGCGAAAAATATCGTATGCAATCGACTTTTAAAAAGATTGATTTTTCGTAAATATAATAAATGAAGAAAATGCCACACTCATCAAAACCATGCTTTACAGCTGAAGAGAAAAAAAGTGCTACCAGTAGTCCCGTTATTTGTGTTCCATCGAGTCGCTCATGAAGGTGACAATTTAGAATTGCTCATGTTGTAAATCTCAAGTTTTTATCATCATCATAAACAGCAAATATTTATGGTTTTCTCCTTCCTCTAGAATTCCTCCGTTTGTAATAGCAAATACATTCCGCGTCTCATTGAATCTTCTTCGAATGACAACAATAGCAGCGGTAGTAGCGGCAATAATAACAGTCAAAACGCGGATCCACACGCAGACCTCATGCCCGATACTTGGAATGTTTACGACGTGTCGCAGTTTTTGCGTGTCAACGATTGCACGGCGCACTGTGACACTTTTTTGCGTAATAAAATTGATGGCAAACGTTTGTTGCAGCTTTCCAAGGACGAAATAATTACGTTGCTTGGTATGAAGGTGGGACCTGCGCTAAAAATCTCCGACTTAATTCAGCAGCTCAAGTGCAGAGTAAATCCGGGCAAGTCCAGGATGCATAAGGCAAATAAAACATTTTTATAGTGCCTTTTGAGGCAACCCCATCGACTATTCTCATTGAAACCACCTGAGCCAACGTTTTCGCCAAAGCTCACATCACACAGCAGCTCGTCACAATACTGTAAATTAATTAGTTTGAACACAATAACCATAAAGTAATTACTTTATTATTAGGGTATGTGGATATTGTGTGTGGAGTGTTGTGAGTATGCTTCAAACGCATAGTGGTTACTGGAAACGAATACAATTAATCAAATAACCGATGTGAGATCTATTTGGAATTCTTTGGGAACCATACATATTTTTGAGAGAAAACTTTAGTTAAGAAGAAAAACGCCGAAATAATGAACCAACCAACCAACCCATGATGCGGAAGCAAAAACCAAAATGCATCAACGTTAAAAGGAAAATAAACCATTAAAAATCCAACAAAGAAAATATGAAAACATTTTGATTAAAATTTTCTTTCACGACGTAGAATAGATACTTATTTTATAAAGATTTTCACTTCATACATATTTTTAATACATAGTACACCGTAGAAAAGTAATTTTATTTTAGCTAAAAACGTAAAGATACAATTTTCTTTATATTTAATTGTATGTAATTCTTTCTTTTATTAAGAAAACAAGGTGAATGAAATGAAAACACACTTGTGGACAGCGGAGCGAAGATGAAAAAAAAACTAGATGTAATTTATTACTGAACTTGCAAAAAAACATCAATTAACTTAACAAATACAACAACAATGTTTTCTTATATTAGGCGTAATATGTAAAAGCACTACTAGCAACTCACCATAACAACAACTACGCAATATAAATGCCTTTTTATAAACTCAACCTTATAAATGTTAAGAAATATTTACTTTAGAAACTCTAATGCAAAAGGCTTTGGAAGGAAATTCTTAGGGCCATACACATAATCATACATAAATAGTTGCTGCATGTTTGCACATTTTAAAACAGCTGCTTTTTTGTCACCTTGAGCTTGATTGCGCAAAGAGCTGCAACAAAAATACTCCACCAATTTCGTGAGCATTCGATAAATTTGAATAACTACCATCAGGTTATTCATTGAGTTCGATTTTGCATATTCAATGCATTGAAATTTAATTTTTCTTTACGAAAAGTGTCGTTGAGCTGAAGTTAATTGAACATGTAATGGATTCGGTGATCGCTGTTTGGGACAGACTAAATATTTGCTGGTGCGAACTTGCAACAAGGTTGGGAAACCATCATCAGATTTAATATTACCATCTGTAGAAGTCAGTATATGTACGCTTGTAGGTAAGGGAGAATGACTCCAGTTGGTGACTGCTGTCTGACAAGAATAGGTCCACAGTTTAAACGGAACTGGCCTTAAATACTAGCCAAGTTCGAAAGAAAACCACCAGTAGTTTTCCGGTAGCAGTGCATCTCTGTAGCTGACGACTGTGCAGGAACACTGCCAGTGTTTCTCAAAAATTGAAGGCTTTTGGCTTTAATAATCGGTATGATTATGTCTTCATAATATAATTTCTCTCTAATAACTAGCCTTAAAATCCATGTTGCCCTTCTGTCAGCATATTCTTCAAATATTCACAATGATCAAACTAACCCGGCATTAGTTAATCAGAACTTTGTAAAACGGACACTGTCGGTTCAAGTGCCGGTTAGGGCAAGTATTATTTTTTTGGAGAAGCAACAATATTGTTTTGGAAATTCTCGTGTTTTGGCAGATACTTTTAACTGCTTGAGGGTTTGTTAAAGGACGGACGAGTTATGTATGTATAAAATCTTGTGGTAATATTTATCATTTTTAAACTCTTGGTGTTTTTGCCGAAAGTATATCCTAGTAATGGTCAGTAGTAGTAGTGCAGTGCAGGACAACATCTGACGGTTGTCAGAGCAGTTTATGGCAAAGGTCCCAAAAAAAAACATGAAAAAAGAGATGCACTGTGTAGCTAGTGCATCTTAATTATTAAAACGTTTACTTCAGGTAAAATCAGACAAATTATGTATTTAACTTATGCTTTCTGAGTTTGTTTCATCTACGTAATCCCTAATTTAACATATTTTTCCACTTGCTGATATTCAGTTCCTTTTTTATGGTCTCTTCACTGGAGAAACAGCTGAGTGCTGCACTAACTTGCACTAGACAAGACGCAATTTAGTGCAGAAAAGAGTAATAGCTGGTTTTCACATGGCATGACGAGATTTGTATTTGAAATTTAGAGGGAAAACGACATAAAAGTTTGATAAATTCATACAGTTGGTATACAAAAAAAAAAAAAACAGATGGCAACACACGTTTCTCCGCCATTTTTCGGAGGTTTAGTTATCTGTTAGACTGAATATATTGTCTTTATCAAGCTTATTGATTATATGATGTACATGTAAACGACTGAAGACCTGTTCTGATCTAAATCAATCGATACACTGTTTTTTAGACCAGTTTGAAAATGTGTTTTCACTTATTTGGCCACAAATACCACGAATTAGACATAGCGAAAACCAGCCTTAAGTTAGTGTACTCACAAAGCACAGCTAGCACTAAACAAGGTTCATGGAACACACCAGAGTAATCTACTGCAATCATCGAAAATACGTAATGTGTCACTCTGTGGAAATAGCGACAATCCGTATTACAGACCCGTTACTAGACTTGGACCCAGAATAAAATTACATATCGTCGTTTAAAGTACAAAACCGCGTATCATCGTTCTGAAAACCCGCGTTACTAACATTTTTTGCCAAAAATCGGATTTGCTCATTTGCTCTTGGCTCAATCCGTATCCATTCGTCCTGAAATATACTAGCCAGTAATGCGATTGCTTTATAAAACAGAACCATTTTAAAATAGTAGTGCTTTACTGTAGAAAATAATTTATTCAACCTCATACGCGGTTCTGCACTTTCTTGATACGCGGTTTTGTACTTAAAATGGCGATATGTAAATACTTTTAATCGAATACATAGACACTTCTTATAGCATAGATATTCCAGTGCTGAGTAAAATTATTTGGATACACTTGCTTGTTATATGAAAGGGAACCTTTTAATACTGATTTCGGCACTAAAAACGAAGCAAATGCTAACGAAAGTGTTACCTCAAATAGGCTTGTACTGGTGGTATTCATTTTGTGTGGATAAAAAAATATTCGCGTCGGTTTGATCACGTAAACCTTTCCTTCGAATCAAATCAGTATACGTATTTCGTCTAAGAATAAAAAAAAAAACAGTAAATAGATTTGAAAGAAAAAATACTATTTTTAGCTATATAAATTTCATCCAATAAAAATTAACAAAGAAAAATAACGATTATTCTTCATTTGAATTGTTCTTTAGCGCAATTTGACGACGTTTTGTTTTGAGACAGTCTTGAAGCTTGGAAAACTGTATAATACTCCAAAAAATAATACAGATACCAGCTTTACGAATAAGCCCTGCAGGCGTGGGCCAATTATTAATGTTCGGGTGTTAAAACACCCCCCCTGGGTCCGCCACTGACTGACACGTAGTTTAACACCCAAAACCCTTCCCCTCTGGTTCCACCACTGTTGATAATGAAAGTTCTCAACTCGGCCGACAATTGTCTCTCCTAAAGTATTCTTCAATAATGGATGAGAACTGCCAGTCACTGGTGCTTCATTTAAACGTTAAAGTTAACTCGCTACTGTAAAGTAAAACAAATTAACAAGCTCGAGCGCCCTCACATTGTAAAAGTTATAACATATGCAGGCCTTGCCTCCAGAATCCGCTTACAGAACGATCTTCTTAAAATAATAGTTATACCATATCTCACAACATAAATACTTAAATATGTACATAAATACTTTAGAGGTGTTGTAAATGTATTAGAAATAATACGATCAGGGAATAATTTCATTTTTTTATAACTCAAGTGCTATTGTAAATGAAATGCTGCTATCAATGAGTGACTTGACTAGATGATGATCTGTAGACAAGCCTGTTACAGCTACATACATGGTTAACAAATATATGTGCTTATTTAGTTTGACACAACTCGGATCGATAGGATCGTTCAACAAATAAACAAGTTTGAGAGGAAAGCCAAGAGTCATAACCATACCGCCTCTTTAGAGTATTGTAGAAATTTCCCAGAGACAATTTGTGCGAAAATCATTAAGCAATTTCAACAGATTTTAAAACATAAAATACATATAAAACATTAAGAGCAAACTTATATACATATGTATAGAACATATAGTCATAGGAACTTTACGATTTTTAAGGCTCACTCGAAAATACACATTACCTAATTAAAAGCCTATATATATGAATACATACATTTGTATGTACAATTAAAGTGAATCAGCCAGAACATGGAAAATGCATATGCATACAAAAATACCTCATATCCGCCAAATGCAATACCACGTATAAGATACTCGGAAAATTTCGCAAAAGAGCGAAGAAACTTATTTTCTTCAAAACATTTGAATGGTTTGCTAACTACTACTAAATATGAGCATCTATGTCACTATTAAATTTGTGAAGTAGGGAATGCCTTGAGACAGGATAATCAAAATACATTTTTTTCTATGCCACCTCTTACGTGGCATTGCATTTGGCAGATACGAGGCATTGCGCGCCAAGCGACGATACGTAGTATATACGCCAGAACTTATTCAAATTACACCATCATCACGTATGGATATACATACATACATAGATGCATACATATATAAATTGTATGTATAGTTATGTAGGCAATATGAGTGTTAATTTAGAAAAGTAAATTATTTGTAAATATCTTCTGCAAAATGTTGCAAAGAAAAAGATAAAGTACTTTATACTGTACACTAAGAATAAAAAGCAAGAAATAACAGCAAATTCAACAAGAAAGTTACTTTAGAAAAGAAGTAAAATTAGTGTCAAGAATTGGTAACCTGGCGATTTTTTTTAAAGTTCCTACGTTTTGGTCGAACAATTACAGGCATGTTCTGAAATTCGAAACTTTGAAATCGACTCGATTTGCCAAATATTTTTTAATTATATCTGATGAAAAGAGTGAATATTCTAATTGAAAACCGTAAAAGAAGTAGCAGCGATATGAAATACATAATTAGACTTTTAAATTTTTGGGTTAAAAACCTTCGAAAAAATTATCGAAATCGAGTCGATTTCAAATTTCAGAACATGCCTTTTAATTATAGGAGTGTTCGCTATGCAACTGCCAGTAAGAATTTGCCAGTGACAAAATTCAGAGAATAAGGTACCTTACTCTCCCAAAGGAAGAAACTTACTAAGTTTTGCGCGAACAGCTGGCGTCCACGGTTGCATTTCGAGCATAATAGGTAAATTTTTTTAATTATTTCAGGTGGAAACCTAAACAGAACCTATACGTATATTTCTTCTTATTCTGATTTTCTTCAACATACGATTCAAATTCTTTGTGGAAGTCACTGTCGGATTTCCTATATCGACAGCGGTGTCGATTGCGTTCCGATTACGAATACAACTTTTTCAGTCGGGTACCTTTCAAATGTTTGGAATTAATTAAATTAATTGAATAAACAAATATTTCATACTTCTTTAATTAGTAAATCGCAACAAGATTGTTCATTTTTAAATTTAACGAACTTGTTGATTCAAATTAATGTTGACAAAAATGCAACCGTGAGCCAAAATCCTGCTTGCAAATTCTTACTGGCAAAAATTTTCCCAGCAAGAATTTGCAACTTCCCCTCCGAATGAAATGTCAAAATTTTGCTCTCTCCTTGCAAGTTTTACTGGGTTTTTGGAGGGTATTGAATATAAGCCATCAGAATAAAGTGAAAACCCGAATTTCCAGAAAAGCCGTTCTAAACATTTTTAAATAGCCTGGCTGGCGAGATGGGGATTTCACATACACATGGAATAGTAGTTGCAGAATGCCATAGCAGATATAACTCAATTTTTTCTTAAGTCGACTTAGGCGGTTATTGCTTATGACCACACGTTATGCTAATCTGTTGCAATTTGTATGGCTGTCTGTGTTCAAAAATGTATCAAACCAAAGTCTTGTTTGCGAAACTATCTTCCAATTCGGAATTTAACTGTGGTTGTGCATATTGGACATTTCAATCAATCATAGTTTAGAAATAAGAGACTAATGCTATAATTACGCTGACCATCCGTCCTGTATTATACGGGACAGACCTCGTTTTTGACCCATTGTCCTGGTAATTTATTTATTTTATACGGGACGCCAAATGTTCTGTATTTATTTTATAATGTCCTGTATTTGTCCCGTATTTGACGCTCCGAAGCCTTAACAGCTCATTAAAATGGCTTGCCTATGAACGAGTTTTAAGTGATTTTGGTATATAATGGCAATTTTCTTTATAAACAGTTATTATTTTCTAATCTGAATGCCTGTGATTCGAATCGAAGAATACATACGGTGACCAAAATATAAATTGAGACCCGACATTTTAGTAAGTTGTGGCTATTTTTCTTTAGTTTATTTAATGTTTATTATTTATTTTATTAAAGTAAAGCTCTTCCTAAGAAAAACTATAAAATTAATTCTGCAATGTTTCACCAAAATTTCAAACTTTTTAATTAGAATCTTTAAAAAAAAAAATTGGGTTGCAGTTTTGTAACTCATTAAAATTGAGTTTAATAAAGTGCGAATGGAAAGTGCTGCTCATTTGCTTCTCCTTCAAAAAAGACTTAAAATTGTTGTAACCAATAGCGGTGGTACAACCATAAACCCATAAACAGAAGTTCACAAAAGTTGATATAAAACTATTCGTCGATTAAAATAGTTAACTTTTAACTGCACATGTTTATTTTACGAGGAGGAAGCATCGAAAGCCTAACCCCGCCAGTGTGAGACTTTAACCCAAACTCCAAACTACACTTCCTACCGTCATGTACCGTTCCCCTCCCGGTACCACAGTCAAGGATTTCGTCGGGATTATAAAAATATTCTCTGGCTATACCGATTTTTTCTTTGAAATTTCGCACACCTACTGTAGAAATTCCAAGGATGGTTATAGGCTAAAAAAAAATTCGAACATGGTATGGAGATATATGAAAGCAATGGAATACTCATGGAGAGAAGTGGGACTATTTGAAAATTGGGCGTTGTGTGTGTGTTTTAGAGCATCTCTGGATAGTTTCAGTTCACAATTTCACACACCAGGTGGAGCTGGAGTCGAGTTATTACTAAACGTTTTATTTTATTTATTGGTAGAGGTAAGAGCAATACTTTTACAAAAAGGAGCCACCAGGTGGCGCTGGAGTCGAGTTATTACTAAAAAACGTCCAGTGAGAGAAAGTGTCGTGAATGTCCGATTACGTCGACCTGCTGCACCACTGAGTTTGTCGAACTGCCATGTTTTCCGACTGGCCCAATCGATATGATTTACCAATATAACTCTGCGTTAAAGCTTCATTCGAATGAGGCAAATTTGTATCGAATCTTCTACAAATTTTCATGTAGAAATGTAATAAGCGGCAATGAATGTTTAATTCGTAATTGGAGTTTTACCAAGTGTTCGTTACAGTACGACTTTCTAAATCTTTAAGCATTGCATGTATTCAAAATTTGAAATAAATACTTGGTAAACCGTTTTAACTATTCTGAAGGCCAGATCGAAGTTCTCGCTAATACCATTAAGAATTGGACAGTAGATTTAAAAGGTTCATTTACTGGAAACAAGCGGAAGCAGACAACAGTTAACTGTTAACTGTTAATTATTACCGCAGTTGTTTGCTTTCTAGGGTATGTTCAATTCGCACTGCCTTACCAGCGTAACAAATATCGATAATTTCGTTCTATCGATTGTTCTTTTTGGTTCTTGAACACAGCTGATTTTGACATAATTGTTATCACTTCCTCTCAGTCCCCGCTCTGATGGAATTGGATTGTTGTAGGTTCATTTGGCTTTTCTTTTGTCCACGTACGTTCTTTCGAACTTGTAATTAAATTAGTAGTTAGTTGAATCAACGCAGTACTTCCAAAGCACGAATCTTTACTACCAAAGTACCATAAATGAGCGGCTTTACTATTGCTATCAGTGGCTTCATTGCCACATGTACTTATCTCTTAACCGTGAGGATGATTCCACGGTTCAAGGACGTATTTATCAAAGCCAATTTGTACGGTAAAGATCTTTGTAAGCGAGATCAGCCGCAGATGTAAGTAATATAAGTTTTAACGTTTAAAGTACTTAAATCCTCACACGCTTATTAGACCTGAGTCTTTTGGCGTTTTAATTGGTTGCGCTTTTCTGGTGGCGATGTTCTTTTTCATACCGATTCCTTTTACATTCGAGGAGGCAGCTCTACTAGACGTTAAAACAGGCGCGAAACCTTCAACTTTTCCACATGAGGAGGTAGTTTTGCAAACACAATTTCAATTTTTCAATTTGTTAAAATATTTCTTACAGTTTGCCGAAATGATCGCAGCATTATTGTCTATTTGCTGTATGATTCTTCTGGGTTTTGCTGATGATGTATTGGATCTGCGCTGGCGTCACAAGTTAATGCTGCCCACAATCGCCACCCTGCCATTACTTATGGTCTATTATGTGAATTATAACATTACAACCGTTATTATGCCAAAGTTTGCAAGACCACTGTTAGGCTATTCTCTGGACATTGGTAACGTAAATTAGGAGTAAACAACCACCAAAGTCACTTAAAATGTTTATTTTCAGGTGTTTTTTATTACATATATATGGGTATGCTTGCCGTTTTCTGTACGAACGCAATAAATATCTTGGCGGGTATAAATGGATTAGAGGTGGGCCAATCAATTGTCATTGGTGTATCCGTTTTATGTTACAATTTTATTGAACTGGCACTTGGCCATCAAGTGGATTGTCATAAATTCTCAATTTATCTAATGCTGCCGTTTTTGGCGGTTTCGCTAGCGCTATGGAAATATAATAGGTAAGTAATATGCCATAAGTAATGATATTAAGTAAAAACTCTGAACGCGAGTCCTAGATTTCTCATGAACTTTTCAAAATTTAAAAAAGCTGTAGATTCTAATGCAACAGTTATCTACCTTTTATTTTTTATGTTAGCGTTATTTGAAAAAATGGCATTACACCCGCAAAATTTTCGGATATCTCTTGCGGTTGTAACTACTTAAAAAAATCGCGCAAATATCTTAACTAGGTATCTATAAAAAAACTTAATAGTAATAAAACATATTTTTAAAGCAAGATTTTTAAATATGAACCAAATCGGATCATAAATAGGGTTTCCCAAATATCTCCACTCCTGCGAAACCTAGAGGAATTCTTTCATATTGTATTGCCATAGGGTTCTAAGCTATGTAACTTTCAAATTTCCAGCTCTTTGATTGCAAGATTTGATTCCAACAATTTACATACATAGCAAGTTAAATAAAATATTGAAATTTAAATCGTAAATTTTGGTCCAGAGAATAAAGCTGCCATAAATCTTATATTTGGTCTCTCACTTTGGTCATGCTATGACAATCACTTCTTAAAAAAACGCAAATATTACATAAAATGAAGCATTATTTATTCATCGACATACATTCATATTTTTTGCATTTTCATATCCAAGTAAGTAGCCTAATATACTACTTACTTTGATATACTATAATCTTCGATTGACATTGTTGTTAGGTAAATACGAAAGTGGTACGTATAATAGTTAATTTTTTAATTAGTTTAGGAGGTCCTAATATAAATGACTAAATTAAAATACCATTTTTTTCGCTCGATAACTAATGGCTCAATGACTTAAAAATCAAATTACACAAGGCAACAATTTTAGAGATGCTAACCGTCGTTTAAAGTACAAAACCGGGTAGCAACAAAATACCAAACCGCGTATATGAGGTTGCATAAATTATTTCCTAATGGTCCTCTTTTTTATTATCTTCCTTTTATTAGCTCGGCATGTAACTATGTAATATTGATGCGCCTAAAAGATGCAGTGATTTCTATTCTCAAGTTACATACCTGATGACAGTACGAATGGCAATTATAATAGGGAGGTTTTAGTTTTTTAAACTATAATTTTAAATTTTTTATAAATCAATTGCATTTCTGGCTAGTATATTTCAAGACGAATGGATATGGATTGAGCCAAGAGCTCGAGTGAGCAAATCCAATTTTTGGCAGCAAATGTCAGTTACGCGGTTTTGCAGAATGACGGTACGCGGTTTTGTACTTTAAACGATGAAACAAATTCATGGGTTTACATTCTTAAACACATACTTTACAAAATATAATTAACATATGTACATACATATGTATATGTTTTTGAAAAATATACACAAATATCACTCCTCACGTAGGAGTTTGATCCCAATAACTCTATCACAGCAGCTTTGAACTGAAATCAACTCTACATACATAAATAATTTTTCGTTAAATGTAAGATTCTAATATGGAACGCACGTAAAATTTACACATTTCTCAATTAAATTTCTAGTTACATTTTCTTTCAAATATGATACGATATGTAGTTGTGGCACCTAGAGAAAATAGTTGCATTGGTTGAATTTTTTTAAGAAAAAAAATGTATCGCTCGTGTTTGTGTTATTCAATATACACTGCTTTAATTAAGGACATCGTAAATATAAATATGTATAGACGTATATATATATATATATGTATTTGTTTTTCGACAGCTTTAACTTTTTTACTCAATTTGCGACTTTTTTTTACAAGACTTAAACATTTATCTAAATAAGTTTAATCAGTGGTGACATCAAAACTACACACATATACATATATACTTTATTTAATGCACATTTTTATTATGGTTTGGGCGTATTTTAACTTCGTTTTAATTGGCGTATTTTTATTTCATTTGCAAAGAATATTCTGCATATTTTTCAATTTAAAAATTATTTAGGCACAATATCTATATAGTACATACATACACATAAGTAACTTCGTATGCATCCGTGATAGAGCTTTTGCTACCCCAAAAATACGATTTTTTTTTTTGGGAAAACAAATAGTGGTGTCTTTAACATTAGCTTCAATGAGCCCGGCATGTATATGCTTATAGAAGAATATGTAGAAATTTAGTTATAGTTGATCGCATGAGCTCCGCTCTACGGCTTTGTTAATTAATAATCCCTAGCCTCATACTCAATCTCGTCATCAAAGGACTCATATAAATTTACGAGCAGATTTCCATACTTCGCCTTTTCTGCTTCTGCTATTGCGGGGGAGTAGTATTTATCCGAATACCGACGAATGCGCAACAGTTGCGTCTTCCCATCAACATATATTCCGGTGGCAATAAGCTTTTGCAAATAAGCCACGTCAATATTGAGTACCGCATTAGGAAATTGCACTTGGCTTGAGAACTTTGACTCCGCGTGCAATTCGGCGACTATTTCTTCTGGCTGCTGGCAGTATTTGCATAGCCACCCACCAAAATGGTTAAGATCTCCGATAACAAAAAGTGGCGGCTGAGTGCTTTCTTTAACAATTCGTTGCATTATTTTTGATGGATCTCTGCCATTGACGCTCGTCTTGTCCACGTGGACAAAGGAACTTACAAAACCATTTAGCTGAGTTTGCTCGGGATGTTGCCAATAGAACCCATAAACGGCATACTTCAGCCGAAAAGGAATACTACGCACATCCGTTGCATAATATTTAAGGAATTGCAGCGCCTGTCGGGATGGCAACACACGATCATTAGTATAAAGCAGCAAATCCGTTGGCTTTACTACCAATGGTAGCTGCTTTAGTCCCATTTGCTGACGAAAGTATTCATACGCCTTTTCAGTCGTGCAATTGCCATTTTTTGTTAAATATTGATTGTCACATAAGAAAAGTAGATATTTGCTTGCTGCCAGCTTTTCTTTTAAACAATGTTTTAATGGCTTTAAGTTGCCGTGAGTTTGCTTAACAAATATTATAAAAAAATCTACTATATCGGTGAGTGCACTTATTTGTAAATCTAACAAATCTAAATTGAAGAAATTGCCTTCAAGGAAATAAACTAACTGATTCGAGTCTACTGTATCGCTTGGTTTACGCAGTCGTACTTGTGATTTTGCCTTTAGGAGCGCACGCCATATTATCTCCGGTTGGCCACAGTCGCGCCCATGCCAACCGGTGCGGCACTTGCATTCTGTGTCCTCCTCTCCCCTAAATAGTTCGTCACTTTGTGATGTATCACCATTCGGCCGCGTAGAGTATTCGTCAAAGCTGCCCTCACGGAAGCACCAGAAAACTTCGTGATCCTGCTCAGCCACTAGCCCAGTTTTATTTATAAGGTCTATAGATTTATTCAGTCTGATTGTTTTGCGGTAAAAGTCTTTTCTAAAATTGTTCGCCTTCCCTGATTGACCATTTCCCATTACAGCTGGCGGAATATCATACTTGAGTATTGTGCTTTTATGTGGTGCACTATTGGCCAAGCCAAACGCTTTGGTTTTTGTTATAAAATTGACTCGTCTTATATTATGCAATGCTGCAGCGCGAGGCATAACAGCTAAAACATTGGTATCGCCATCATTCAGTATTGTTATCTGATTAATTCTGGTTTTAATGCTTCCGCCTGCCTGCAATAACCACAGACACGAAATGAAGCATACTTGAACTAGCACCAACAATGTTAGTAGTAACTTTTTGCTGAACGTTGCTCTTCCTGCGGCTGTGGGTGGATTTTGAGGCTCCGGCATCCCGATGCCAATAAGGGATGCAGCAGTTCCTGGTGGAAATTGATGGTTTGTTGCGATGCGAAATGATGCATTTCCTCCGCTGCGTTGAAACATTTATCATTTGTGGTTCATAAGTTGTTAAACACAAGCCAAACAACTTTCAACCTGCATATGTATGTAGTCTTAACTAAAAAAAATTTAATATAAATTACGCGATTTTTAGTTTGCAATGCTTTCTTACGGCGACCAAATAGAAAACACACCCACGAAAATTTTCTTTTCCAGTCTGCGAATAAGATGTGCTAT